AGCAGCCCCTCATATCTTCTAAGCTGATTTGAAAAGCACATGCAAAAGTCACCTTAAACCTTCCCAGGGACTCGTCTGTCTTTAATTTTCTTTAAACACCTCCTTGGAACATGAGAATTTTTGCCTATGCAGGGCTTATTGAAGTAATGGGTTTATTTGGTTCTGAACCATTGCAAGCAGGAAAAGCAGAGCTCAAGGCTGACTCTCCTCCATAGCTGTCCCATGTAAGGTGAGGTGTCAGGGCCCCCTCCTCGGGGTACCTCTGGAAAAGTGTCTTGCATGCTGAAGCACCTGGAGTACTGGCATGAGCTGAGGATGTAGGATTGCAGGAGGTGAGCAGCTCAGCCTGATTTGAAAGCTCTGCAGCTGCTGGAGAGGTCGCCTGATCTCAGTCACATCAGCACTTTTTCTTGTTTCTGTGCCAAAACCTGGCCGTGTGTTTGCTGCACAGTGCATCAGGAAAACCAGACTGAAGGAAATGCAGGAAATCTCATTTTGCATCTCCCGTTGTTGTTCTGGTCGTTCTACTCCGGAAATGCCCCAGCCACGTGTTTCTGTTCCTCAGTCCTCTGCTTGTAGTCCTGTATAGTGGCATCCTCAAGCCTCTCAGGTGCAGGGTATCCAGCATGTTTATTCTCCTTTGAGGGAGATTTAGGCCGTTGCAGAGCAGGCAGGACCAAGGACTGAGTAAATCCTGAGTGTGCAAAGAGTCCCTCGCAGCATCCCTGTGCCACCATCCACCCTGGCAGTGTGCGGGGCAGCTCTGGGGAAGCAGCGGAGCCTGGGGATCCAGCCTCTGCCTGCCTTGGCTCAGCCTGGGCTCTGCTGTGCTGGGCAGGGAGCAAACACTGGACAACAACACTGTTGTACGAACTGCTCCGTGTTCCCCACACAGAGCTGCTGCGGGGCAGGGCCTGGATAACCTTCCTTTTTCCCTAGGAAAAACCCTTTGGGCTGCTGGCACATGCCATGGCAGGCTCCCAGAACCATGGTACGGAGGGCTGCCTCTCCCCTTCCCTCCCATCCCTTCCTCCCCAGCACAGTTGCTCCACATTATCCTGGCATTTCATCCCGCAGAACAGCAAGCAGCAGGCTGGTTGGTTGGGTGCAGCTGAAGGAGCTGGGCTCTGCTGGCTGCCAGGCTCGCTGCAGAACTGGCTATTTTTAGCTTTCCATCTTGCTGCTTGCGCTCGCATCCCAAATCCACTGCAGCCATTCGCCTGCACACCCTGCAGTGCTTCCCGGCACGTCCTAGTTACGCTCCGAGCTTCACATCAGCGTCAGAGGATGATATCAGAAGCTTGTAAATATGTGTAATATATTTAATACTTAGGAAGTCTCCATCAATCACACAGTGGGAATTGACTTTCCCATGATGGTTTAAAAAGGAAATGAGTCTTATTTATGTGTGTTGGCTGTTACCTTTGTTAAAGCATTCAGCCCCCTAATACAGTTTGCACTCCATAGGCATTTTAGCTGGAATTACTGCTGACAAGAATGCAGGACCAGCACAGAAAGCTCCCTGCCATGAATTTTAAAATCTTGTATTTTGTTTTAGCTTTATCAATACACCCAGGGTCTGTTTGAATATCCCGTAGGAGGCCCAAGGAGTTAAAAATGCCACTGGCAGCACGGGTCGTCTTGTTCTGTATGTGAACCTGGTGGTGGAGAATTCAGAACCAGCTCTGCTGCTCGCTGGTGATGGAGGAAGTGAGCAGGGCTGTGCTGCAGCTCTCACACCCAGCTTCCAAACGTTCACGGTGACAGTAATGCTGGGCAGGTTTCTTGGTTTTATATCCCTTTCCCCATTGCTTCCTTCATACAGGAGGGGTGTTACCTGGCAAAAATAAAAAGCCTTTCCATTATAGCCCTTGTCTGTGTTAATTACTGATGTGGAAGCTGATTTAAAGGTTCTGCCTCTCCTTTTTCGTGCTTTTATAGTTCTGTAAGATCAGCTGGATGGCGCTTTTGGCAAAGAATTGTTAATGAGAATGATCGAATAACAGCACTGCCTGGGCTGCATGGAGGGAGGGAAACGTCAAAGCACTCTTAGAATAGCAATAAAACTGCTTGTGTAACTCCAGTGATGCCATTAGCACCCACGCATCGCTCCCAGCCTCCTCCCTCCGTTACCAGCGTGTTGCTGCTTCCAGCACTGACGGTGTGTAGCTGAGGCTCATCCTGCATGCAGCACAGGCTTCGGGAGTTCTCCATCCCTCATCTCTGGGAGACAAATGCTGCAGTCTTTTGGAGAAGTTTTTGATTGATTGTTTTGAGTTCTTAAACCAGCAGCGGAGAGAACATTTTTAGCACAACTATTCCGTTGTTCTCTTTCAAGCTCTCCTTTTTCCCCAGGCAAGTTCAGCATCAGCTTCCACAGTTAGCTACTGGCTGCATGCTCTGTAGGTTAGAACTAATGTAAAAGTTCCACCTTTAGGCTCCCGCTGGCTACCTTCACACTTTGCCTCACCCAGCAGCTCTGTACATCTTTTAGGAATGTCTTTCTTACGAGCTCAGTCTCACCGGTGATGCAATGACAGCACACAGGCATGGGGGAACGGTGCTGCAACCACGCACTCTGGTGCTACGGCATATGGATTATGTTAATGTTACTGTAGAATCTTACAGTGTTCCCATGTTGACAACCTGGAGCTGCTCTGGTTCATTTCTTCTTTTGTGTGTATGTATCTTAAGGCCAATCTGAGAATGTTTATCGACTCCAGCTATAAAGATCTGTTTGGTTGTTTCTGTCTGATTTTTACTCCTCTGTTTCAGGTTTTGTGGGGTACCTGCTCTTCACCAGAAGTTCCTGGTAAGAGAGCACCAGAGAGGGGCGTTAGCCCAGGCTGATATCATAGGGTCATAGAATAGTTAGGGTTGGAAAAAACTTTAAGATCATCCAGTTCCGACCCCCCTGCCACGGGCAGGAACGCCTCCCCTTAGACCATGTTGCCCAAGCCTCTGTCCAGCCTGGCCTTGGAACAAAATACAACCCATTTCCTGACACACACGTGTAAGTTCATGAGCACTGTCCTCATGGCAGCTCCACGGAGCCCAGCACCGCAGTGCACTCCTGCTGGGAGAGCTGGTGCCAGCTCCTGTGTGTGCAAAGGGTGGGCGTCAAGTGGCACCACGAGCTCCAGCAGCCCAGAGCTGGCACAAGTGGTAAGATTTTCTGTGCCCCAGGTCCCCATCTTCAGAAATTGGTGACAATGTGGTTTACAATGTGGGTACAACTCTTTAAAGTGTTTTGAGAGCTGCTGCTGAAGAGAGAGATGAATTTTACTACAGTAGTCTGCACTCAACCCATGTCACAGGGCATCATCAGGAGATGGAGCTGAATAGTTACAAAACAGACACAGCAAATTGCATGTGGTGGTGGTTTTGTGTGTTTGTACTGGACTGCAAGTCAGTGACTTCAGTTTGTTCTTGGTGAGGTTGCTCTGCATTAGCAGTGCCAGGCTGAGCTGAGCTGATGCAGGCAGCCAGGGCTCTGCGGCCTGAAAAGACAACACAAGATGCTGCAGTCTGCAAAGCAGAACAAGTCTAGAGAAAGCCATTTGGAACAGACCTTTTCAGGCTGATAGAAGAAAAAACACATTTTAAAGCAGATAGATAGATAGTCTTTTTAGGTGTGAGGCTTGTTCATAGGTGGAAAAGACCCAGTGATGCAAGGAGAGGCTGTATGCCAAACAGTGAAGTATTGGCTTGTCAGATTGGATTTTAGGGGGCTGCTGAATTGAAGGACATAGGCATGAACTGGTGCAACTTCTGCAAGGGATTGGCTTCCAAAGCTGGGAGGAAACAAGCACCAACAGAGAGGCTGCATGCTCATGGCCCCTCTTACAGGACAGGTAGAGGCCAAGGCCCAGCTTTGGTCTAGGCATTTAAAATAGGCATCCAGCTGTGGAGGGAGGTGGTGGTTACACTCCCTGTGAATCAGAAAGCAAAACAACGAGGAGGGCATTTGAACTGTATTATTTCTCTTAAAGCTGGTTCCCTCTACCCAGGCCCCTCCTTTAGTAAAGGGGAAAAAAGAAAATCCCAAACAGGAGATGCACTTTTTGGACACTAATAGGGACCAAAGCACAAACCCTTCCCCTTTGACCTTATTCTGCTTCTGTGCTGTCACTGCACCTGTCAGTGCAGCTTCAGGTACACCAGGGGCATCAGCTCTGATAAAGAAAGGCAACAGAATTGTCTTCTGCTTGTTTTCATGTTATGTGGTACTGAAATGCATTTCTTGTTTATGCATTACTAATAAAAAAGTTCTTTAAAAGGATATTGCATTGCTCACACTTTCTTGAACCAACCATGGAGACACTGAGCACCCTTTCTTATACTGCACAGCTGGTAAGGGCACATTCCACATTTGTGTGGTCAGGTAGAGCCCCAGACCTTTGCTGCTGCAGGATTTAACAAGGTTAGACACAAAATAATAGAAGAATAAGAAGGGGAAGTATTGTGCCAGCAGGGACCCAAATGAGGAACCCCTACCGATGGTTTTACTTGCAGGTGCCTTCTAGTAAAATGAGAATCATGCCTCAGTCATCTCAGCTGTGGAAAAATTAAGAGGACAGGACTTGTGCTTCATAAAAATGCTTATTCACTGAATAAATCCATAGCAAAAGCATGACCCAGATCTGGAGCTGGATTAAAAGGCCAGCCCATAACCTGCATGGCTCTGACCAGTGGCAAGTGGTGTGGGTGTGGTAAGAAGAGAGCTTATGAGAGAAATCAGGTCTGATTTACAAATCAGTTTAGATGACTCCTTCCTGTTAGCAGCAAAATGAAGCAGCTGCTGGACTCAGTTCAGGCACACAGGATGCCTGCAGAGCTTTTGACCAGCAGGATGTGTGGCTTGCAGCAAGCTCCTGGGCACCTGGTACCACTTACATGGTACTGCTGCTTACCCAGCACATACTGACCCCAGTAAATTTTCTTGAGCCTTCTCTGAAAACCAGCAGCCCATTTCACATCGCAGCAGTTACACCCAGAAGTGTTTTTTTGAGTGGAGGATGTCATTTATTTAAGATAGCACCATAGTGTACACAGACACTTTACAGAGTCCTGCCCTTCACAGCTTACAATCTAGGAAGATACAAGAATAGGAACGGTGTTACCCACTGCTCCACCTGAGGATGTAAATGAAAAGTGTCACATCACAGAATGCCACTGGTCATCTCAGAACTCCTTTATTACATCACCAGATACAGCAACTCCTGGTACACCTTATGTGCTGCAGTTCAGTGCCTTCCATTGTGTTAAGCGTCTTTACAGAATACCGCAACTTCGCTAGGATTGCCCCTTTTCCTAACAAATACAACTTTTCCCTCAGCATGCCTGCTGACCTGATGGGGGGAGGGAAAGAAAGCAGGGTGGGGAAGCATGGAGGACTGACACTGGCACAAGGACAAGACAGGAAAATAAGAAAATGGATAATCTACACAAAACCCATTACACACAAGAGCATCTGATTACACTGGTCTAGGTTAATGCTTTCTGTTGCTAACATGAGCCTGTCTGCACTAACATGAAAACCAGACATTAACCAGAAACCAGAGTTTACCTCAGGTCTGGCGTCTTCAACAGCTTTAAGATCCTTCAGGGCCAACTGATCACAAACAGGCCCATTTGCCATGCTCTGGGAACCACTGCTGCCATGCTCCCTCACTGTTTCCCAGCAGTCATCCTTCCAACTTCATCTTTCTCCAGCTTCATCCTTCCACAGCGGGCATGTATAACACAGCTGCAGTTACTGGGGAGGGTGAGCAGCCCCACTTCTCACCAAGCTGCAGACCCAATATGCTGGCACTAACTCCTTCAAACCAACCAACCTCATTACACCCAAACCCCCACTCCCTTTCCCTTGAATTGCAACCTAATGGCTAAGAAACACTGAACTGCAAACCTCAGTGCCTTGAACAGCAGCAAACATCCTCCCTCCCCAACACACAAATCATTAATCCTGTTTTCACCCTGCCAAGTGCAAAATTCTTACTCAGAATGGCACTTGCCACCTGTTAATGAGCATGGCTACATGTGCTGAGCTTCCTTCTCCTTGGTCCTTCCCCCAGTCCCACAGGCAGCCTAGCACTTCCCCTCACATGCAGCTTTCTGGCTTTGGTAGACACCTCCATCAATGCACATGACACAAAACTGACTTCAGAAATATTTTTTAGCCACTTCCAGTAAATAAAGCCAGGGAGTTTCCCTAGGGATGGACCAAGAGAAGCAATTACAAAGGTAGGGTTTTTTTGCACCAAGGGTCAACTCAGACTGTAACAGTGACAGAACTGGAGTGCTTCAGAAACAGGGTTATGCACAGTAGGGCTGAACATACAGGTACAGATCCTATCAGATCCCATACAGAAGAGCCACGTGGTCAAGGAAGAAGGGTGGGTGCCCCATATCCAAACTGGATGTGCAGAAAGCAGGAGAGTAAAAGTGTACGTGAAAGCTAACAGGAAATTAAAAAGCAATTCACCTGCTAAACACTGGAGCCTGCTTGGTCCCAAGTGTGAGCACTGGTCCTTTGTACACACTGGAAAAATGAGCAGCCATGGGAGGTGCAGCAGTGTCACCTAGCCCAAAGACAAGGTGAGAGCAGCAGCACTGCCCAGCAATGCAGAGGCAGCTGGGTGATGGAACTGGCTTCTGGAGGAAATCAGTCTTTTTCCTACCCAAAGTTTCCCCACTCCCATTTAGCCTAGAGAAAAGCAGAAAAGGACTGAGCACAAGCAGGCAAGGTAGTGATCCATAGCAAGTGAGCTGCAGACAAAATGGACACCCAAGCACTAAGCCATAGAGTTCACAAGAAGCACAAAATGCAGGGTGGAAGCAGCCCAAAATCACTGGGGAATGAAACAGACTAGAGATGCTGCAACACAAACAGGTAAGGATTTGTTTCTGGAAGAAGGAAACAAAGTGCAAAGGATGTAATCCAGAAAACTGATGGATAATTAATATTGACCCAAAGTGCAGCAGAGGAGTTTGGCCCTGAAGAGAACATAGGAGCCTGTGGTGGCTTTCCTGGGACACCAGCTAGTTCTGGTAGGTGCTATACACAAATCAGGTTTAAGACAAAAATAAGTAACTATTTCAAACCTGACGCAAGAAGCAGCTTTAGACAATCCTTCCTGCAAAGCAAAGCAGTACATGAACCTGTCCAAAGACTTTTCTACCCCCTGACAGTTATGTTTTCCTCATCTCCAGCAGGCCTGTATGGAAATGCTGCAGTACAGGTTTCCACATGCACAGACACTTACTCATTTTTTCCTTTCATTTGTAGAGCTCGGCCATAGCTGCACTCCCTTCCCAGCTGAACGCCACCAGGAGCTAGAACATCTTCTGCATTCCTTATCCAGGAAGTGGCATTGCTCCTCTGGGAAGCAGTCAGCAACTGACCTGCACCAAAGCTATCCGGTGTATCTTCTGGAAAGGAGCTGCTGTCAGCCTTTAAGCTCTAAGTTTCTGTTCCAAAATAAGAAAGACTTTAGGTCCATATAAAAAGAGCAGTGTAAATGTTAGCTACTAATTTAATTGCTTTGAACTAATATATACGTATGTACTTTTAAATTAAGTTTATTCATTAGGATCATGTAATTTAGTGAGACTGCAGTTACACCCAAATTAATGTTCACTTTTAAACTACCCAGAATACAAACACTGAAACTTCCCTTAAGCTACAGACACTGTAAAATTACCAGATCAAAACAGTGACCAGCACTTTGCTCTTCTAGGTTTTTTTAGAAGTTACTCATGCTCTTTAACAGCTTCCTAAACACCTACTCGCCACTTGAATGGGTAAACATCCTTGCAACACTTGGCTCACTTTGTGTGAACACCAAAAATAGGTTAAAATGCCCTAACCACACATACTACCTCTGGACCAAATATGAAAACATGAACATCAGAGAAGGTTAGGACTGGTACCTATATATTTCTGCGTGCTTTATATGAAGCAATTTCTGCAGTTACTGGAGTACTTTTGCAGATAATGAGAAGCATTTAAAATTATCCTAAAATCATTTTGTACCAATGTGGAAAAGCGTTGAAAAAGATCAGTTACGCTGGTAATCAGTAGTTAGTAAAAGCGCTCAAAACGGAGAGTCCATTTGTTTTCCTTGTAGTCCTGTTTTTTCCATTGAGGGCATGAAAAGTGCATGTTCATGAAACTTTACCATCCCAGATTTCCTGCTTATTCCTCATTTCAGCTCTTCTGTTTATTGCATCAGTCTCTCCCTCAGTTAAGACAGGATGTGAAGAGCAAGGATCAGTGGAACAGCACGGTCTATTAGTTCAAGTAGCCCTCAAGTACCCTTCTTAGAGATAAATATAAGAAGTATTTTCCAGCACCTTCCAGGAACTACAACTCCTCATAGGGAGGGAAAGAACTAGGGCAAGTTAATAAATATGGAAATAAATTATACCCTTCTCCCCACCAAAAAACTGGTTTAGGCTATTAACATCAATAGAAACTTGATCTTTGTTTGGATACAAACATCTGAGAGGTAAAGTATCTCTGTGTCATGTTCAGGCAGCACTTTCAAACAAGATAAGAAAAGTTAGTACCGCACAAGTTTTAGCTTCTTGGGATGATCCTCTCAATAAGGTATCTAATTCTATCATGTTCTGACTCAAGTGGTTCCCTTTAAGTGTCTTAAGACACTATCAGATTACAAAGCAGACAAAATTCAGTGCTATGGTTCCTATCAACCCTTCACAGAATGAATGGTCACGTGGAAAACTCTTACTACCGCACATGCATTCTTTTTAAGTTCGAGTACAAAAAAACCAAGATGATGTAAATATAACATACTTTTGATCTTTGTTAGAAAAGGCACATTTAGGCAGTTTCAAATGTGCTAAATGTTTTGTTTCCAGTGTTAAAAATAAATGGTTTAAATAAAAAGAGCATCTGCAGGAGGTCAATTTAATCTTCAGTAGGCAACAGGAGCTGCTGTGGAGATGACAGATGAGGTTACTTTTCCGCTGATCCAAAATTCTTATAAATATATAAAACTTGTGCAGATCAGCCTTAGCAGGGAGATCTATGAAGCAGTCTGGAGAATAAGACTCTTCTGTCACTTCCCTGGAATTTTTGGTTTCATTTTTCTGTTGACGCTGCTGCCATGGCTGGTTTCATGCCCTCACGTGTTGACTTCAGCTCCTCCAATTCTGTGTTTAGTTTGCTGATCACCCATTCCAGGGCATCCCGACCCTGCCAGGAAAATACTGGAATTTAGGATCAGAACAGATACACCACCACTGCTCATGTTTCTATAGTTTCTCCTCTGTCAGACATGGAATTTGTTTTCAAATTAATTTCATGCCCTGCATAGTTTAATACCAGATTATACTGATCATTTCTTAGCATCTTCTGATGGAAATTTCACTGCAAAGGCATTTGCTTAACCCATAAGCAAGGAGTAAATGCAATATTGGTGTGAGCTCCCAGCAGCACACCTCAGCGAAAAGCCTAATTCAGCAGTTAAGTTACCTTATGTAAGATTGAGGCTGTTTTTACTGTTTGCTGCTCCCAACTCCCAGAGAACATCAGCAAATTTATGGCAAAGTCTAGATCCTATTCTCAGATTCATTGACCAGGTTATATGCGCAGGTTTTGAGAAGATCCAGGACAAAGAAAGAGAGCCTTCCAAGTGCTCTTTGAAGTAGTAGCTGATTTGATACCTAGCAAGAGTTCAGAGATGGACTCACACTGAAGTCTACATACATGCACAGCAGCTTTCAGCATGTGAAACAGACTAACTGGGAGACTACAGTTGCATGTTTCATATCAAGGTATGGTCTTTCTCTGTTCAGTTCTCAGAGTGGGAGTGCTTCAAAGCTAGACACTGACAGCCAATGCTTTAGTAAGAGCTGGGGAATGAAGCAAGATAAGCATGTAAAAAACCTTTCACCTTAAGAAGACCCTGTAGCAGCTGCACCCCAATGATCACAAGATGAGCATGCAGCCAGACACATGATGAAGGCAAGAATATAAAGAGAAGCACTTTAACTAAATAAAAGTGTAAGATTTCAGAGCTCCACAATCACAGAATAACAGCTTTTGCCAAAACAAGCAGATGGCATCAGAGCAGGAAAATGCCTGACCTTCTTTCTCAAAGAGAAGCCAAGAGACATTCACCTCTATTACCCTACCAAGAGTAAGAAGTCCAAACTGTGCAGAGCAGTAACTGGGAGCCACAAGGCTTTGGCCAAGTCTAGAGGAGTTCTGGAGATAAATGGTCTGAGCTCCCAAAGTCCTAAGCCTTCAGGATAGCCAGTGTCAGTGTTCAGGTCCTCTGCAGAGATTGAGGGAAAGGAGAGGAACACCCCTCTGCACATACAGAGTTTTGTTCTGAACTATGATAGACTATTTCTGTTGCATGCGTTAGAGGCCATAAAGTGAACAAAAACCTCATAAAGTGTCCAGAACCTACCACTGCTCATTATGAACTACTAAGCAAGAATCTGCATAAAGAGCTTTGAAAGCCCCAAACAAACAAACAAGTCAAACCAAAACCCACACATACTTCTGAGGAAATTTTTTTGTGTCTAGAAACATTACTCTGGAATAATATAAAAAGCCCAGTTCCAGGCTGCAAAGTGTAGTCGATTAAAAGAAATAAAGACTCTGTTTCTCTGTATGTTTTTCATATTACAGCAACTTGGTGAACAACACTAATTGCTATGATGTCTGCACTGGCAGGCAGTCCTTGATCTCAGAAAAGTCATCCACATATCACAACATCCAGTTCAGCTCTCGGCCAGAGCTCAGAAAGGGGCATTCAGCTCTAGCCAGAATTACCTCAAGAACTAGTATGTTTAAGTTAACTTAGTTCAAGATATGCTTTTAAAAATACTAAGAATATTCAACAAAGTGTGATTTAAATTGTTCAGTTTAAGCTAGAAAAAAGTCATTAGACTTGGGTTGTTAGAAAAAGTCATTAGAAGAGTATGATTTCACTTCTGAGATCCTTCCATCTGAGCACAAGATCGACCACGCTTCAGCAGGTGGTAACTTCCAGCATCCTGTGCAAGACCTGGAGACACCAGCAAAGCATGCATAAGAGCACCCAGGCAAGAGTAGCCATGAATTAGCTGAGTGAAGTGCTCAGTAAGGAACAAAGTGGGGGGAGAGAGCAGGAATCATCTTTCAGTAAGGATGCATTTAGATATTTAAAAGTCAGGTTAAAACATCCTGTCTTCAGTGACAGGCACAGAGAACTGAGTAAGCTAGCAACAGCTTAGATGTTGTATTTGTCTAACTGCATGTAGAAAACCTCTCAGAAAGTCAAACACCTTTGATGTAGAAAATGCTCAGTAAAAAAAAACTAATTAAACCATAGTGGTTTAGTTGATATTTGTTGATAAGATAAAATGAATCTAAAAAATCCATGACATTCAAGTGGAGCATCAAGATATTTACTTCAGTTTTTGAGACTATCCAGGTCTGCACATCTCTTTAGACCTGCATACGTGATATACCATAGCTTGCAGCAAAACTTGTGATATTGGCAAAGAAGACTTCAGCAATATTCTGCACAGGCAATTAAGTGACAAATCTCAACCAGATGCAAAGGCTCCCAGTACTGTAGGACTGACCAGTTACCAGAAAAAAATCTGACAGAGGATTGGTCTATAAAGTTTCATACTGTACAACAAATTATGTAGTAGGCAATGAAGCAAGCGCATTCATAACAAAGCATGCATATTGTATTAGTCTTTATTGCATATGTTTGCAGTATGATGTGTTTGGCAGACCAAAGGCTGCCTATGAAAATCTGTTGGTGGAGCTTAAGTGACTGATAAATGCCTTTGGAGTTGATGTTTTCCAGATAAACAGCCATAAAAGCTTAGTGGAATGAGAATGTAAAAGCAAACACTGAGGGCATACACTGATCTCAAAGTAAGCAGTGTAGAAAACCCCATGTTCTTAACTAGGGGAAGCAGCATAATGGGGTTTTTTCCTTTTTTCTTTTTTTGAGGAATCTTATTAATTTGAGCATAAGCCAATACAGGAATGACAGAGACAGGCTATACTAACTAGTGGAAGGAAAACAGTCTGCACAGAGGTATCACAGAGGCAACTACACTCCGTTCTCTCAACCTTGAAGTCACATTTTTACATAGTCACATCGCTTGAAGGACACATCACTACCCAAATGAATGTAACTACAAGAGCAATGGAAAACATGAACAGCCTGGCATTCTGACAGCTTCAAGCTTCTTACAGGTTTCCACAGAAGTTCACAGAAGGGCAACAATATTCCTTAGGCATAAGAAACGCAAATACAATTTCACTCTGCAAAAGATCACTCCTGTTAGGCAATCTGTTTCAATAAATTAATTCTCTATCCTAAGAATACAATTCTGTTTTATTTTTATAATGCCAATTCCAGTCACTAACCAATTTATTCATTTCTTCAGGTGCCAGTTTGACATACTGAAATCACAGAAACTAGGACCAGATCAAACACTTGGTGGAGGGACTCATTCACATGTCTATATCTGCAGTCATCATTCCACTTTCACTGGAAAGCAGTTCAGTGTGGCACAGGACAGGCCTGCAGCAAGCTGGCTGTCCAGTGGCACAGGATCCAGCCTAGATCTGACCTACTCTCACTCTCTGCAGCTGCAGTGTAATGAACATGTTTGCCATTCCTTTATGCAATGTATAGAACATACATGCAGGTTAATTTACGAACTTCACATGACAACAATCCATGCACATAATTGCCAGAAAGCTGAAATGCTGTACCAAGAAGAATGCTGGCATTACCACTAGTTAGTAAACTGGAGATGTGGAGCACTGCTAGCTTAGAGCGCTTTCAGAATTTTGAATTATCCACTCAATAGCATCCCACCCCTGGAGTAACACAAAAAAGATTTACAACATATGGCAAATGATTTTCCATCATCAGTAAAAATAATAATGCATCATCTGCCACTTCTATCTTAGAGCAAAATCTCAACACTAACTTCCTATTTCTTCAGAACAATAAAACATTTATCAGCAATGTTTATGAAGTTTAAGTGGGCTGCTAAGAGCACAGAGGCATAGCACTATATGCAAGAAGAGCTAGTAATAGCAGAGTAGGTTTCTGGCTAGCAAAGAAAGGGCTGGTGGGAGCAAGTACAAATTCCTGTCAAGTTCAAATCTCTAAAGAGACTTTTTAGTGGATCACACAGGACAAGGGTTTTTTTGATTTGCAAGAAGCTTGTAAGCCAGTGTGTTCCTTGAAGAACAATCTTTAAAACAAATCAAGCTCTCACACAGGCAACACCTGAACAGGTACCAAGCAATATTCACACTCTTTCTCTGAGTTCAGTAGAGACACACAAATGTGACAGATGCCACAAGAAGAATTCAGCCAGCACTTTAAAGTGTGCCCAGTCGATCTGGCCATTCCAATTAGCTAATGCTTTGCTACCTCCAAGTCAGCCTGAAGTCAGGTTGTGAGCCAGGGTTTGGACTTCTTTTTCAAGAATATATGACCTTCATAGACTTCTAAATGGAAACTGGACCAGAGAAGAACTGTAATTTATCTGAAATACATTCCATTTCTGACTTTCAAACACAGAGAACACTCAGCTAGTTAAAGTTACTCTTCTTGTGTCTAGAAACTACTCCTTCCCCATCTCCCTATTTTAACCTGTTTTCCTTTCATTTTTGGAGAAACACACAGAAGGAAGGAAAAGGAATCTCTCTCCTCTATGATTTAGTTGGTCAGTGCCTTCTATCAAGTTGACTTACACTGCCTTGGTCAAGCAACATCTCTCACAAGGACAAGGGGCTGGCCAAAGCACAGGCTCCCTGACACAGTAAGAGTTACCTGGGCCAGATTCCCACTGTGCTGAACCTCCCCAGCACTAACTCACATTTCATGTGCACTTGTCCTGCTGTTAAGCAGTGATGCCTCTGCTTCTCTAGAAACTCCCTTTCTTTCCCACCTTCCCCAAAGCAGTACAGGATAAAATGCCCAAGAATAAGCAGTCCCATAGTTCTGCCTCTGCTGAAGTGCAGCTCCATGGCTGCAAGCCAAGTAGAAAAAGCAAGTGCAAGACAGAGGAGTTGGTGTAGTATTACCTACAAAAGGAAGCATAGTTTCACCTCTTCAAAGAATGTGCCTTTGCTTATACTATATTACTTTCAGCAAGGCAAGGAGACAGCTCAATAATGGACAGTAACTGGAACAAGTGGCAAAGCAGCATAGATAATATGCTAGCATTAGCTGTTAAATCCAGATTATAAAGGCTGAAAAGAAAGTTATAGACTCATAGAATAGTTAGGGTTGGAAAGGACCTTAAGATCATATAGTTCCAACCCCCCTGCCATGGGCAGGGACACCTCACACTAAACCATGTTACCCAAGACTCTGCCCAACCCAGCCTTGAACACCGCCAGGGATGGAGCATTCACAGCTTCCTTGGGCAACTCATTCCAGTGCCTCACCACCCTTACAGCAAAGAATTTCTTCCTTATATCCAATCTAAACTTCCCCTGTTTAAGTTGGAATCCATTGCCCCTTGTCATGCAGTCCCTAATGAAGAGACCTTCCTGAGCATCCCTATAGGCCTTCTTCAGATACTGGAAGGCTGCTATGAGGTCTCCACGCAGCCTTCTCCAGGCTGAACTGCCCCAACTTTCTCAGCCTATCTTCATACGGGAGGTGCTCCAGTGCCCTGATCATTCTCGTGCTCTCCTCTGGACTTGTTCCAACAGTTCCATGTCCTTTTTACATTGAGGACACCAGAACTGCACACAATACTCCAAGTGAGGTCTCACGAGAAAAGTTATGTTCACTACTAGAACTAACTCCTGGAAATAGGAAGTTAGTGTTTAAAAAGGTGCTTTGGAAGAAAAAAATACCAAAATCACAACAAAATAATACCAACTAACAGTATGTATATGCTATATGTATATTATGTAGCATGCACACAGAAGTTTGTTTGCTCTGCTGTGCATTTCTAGTTAAAAAAAAAAGATTTTGTAGTGAAACCTTTTCATACTTTGGGAAATTACATTCTAGTTGCTGAGTTGAAACTGTGCACAAAGTTTAGCAAAATTAAATGTAGTATTCAGGACATGTGATTGACACTACTATTTTAACAAAAAAAAGAAGGTAGGAGTGGGAAGAGAGAGAGAGAAAACAGAATAAAGATGTACCTTTCTGGCATTGGAAGATATCGTGTTCGCCATTAAGCTTTCCAGATAACTGCTCAAACTAATGCCTTTAACAGTAATAATTGCTTCTTGAGTTAGCACAGTTCTGTAAGAGCATAAAGAAAAGTTAACACCTGAAGTGAACTAGACTAGTATAAATGTCTCCTATGTACAAAATAGCACAAAAATATCCTTACTTACTTTTCAGGGTTTTCAGGATGCGGCGTGTAAACCAGTCTCTCATCAACAGACACTAAGTTTGTGAGAGTAATCTTAAAAAGAAAACATAAAGCTTAAATCCTCACTTCCCGCCTTTCGTTTTTCTGTTATCAACAGCACTACTCAACAATAGATCACTCAATAACAGAGACAGAGCAGTGTGAATTGAATATAAAATCCAGAACACAGTCAATAAAAAGACCTATAAAGGGTGATGGATCTTCTTCTGTTCTAGATCTAATTATATCAATCTAACTGCCTATTCACAGTACAAAGCACAAGCAGCTTTTCATTTGTTTTCTCTGAATGTTGAGTCTTATCTGATTTATGGCATGTGACCCAGAGAGGCTCTTCAAGACCAAGACCACCATAACACTATTTGGACTGTACAGAAAATTAATACTCCAGAAAAGACAATGCATCTTGTACAGAGACAATGTTCTTCTACATACAACTCCACTTTAAATCTGATAGTTACAAGTTCCCAGGGTACAGCATTATACTTCATTTACATCTTGTGAAAAAAGGCATTTCAAATTACCACTTTTGTTGTAAATGGCAGCATAATGTAGAACAAGTTATTCATTTAAAGTCAAACTACTTCACAGGAATTCTGAGAAATAGCCTTTAATTAAGAATCACAAATGTTTGATCCCAAAGTATTTAAAGTTTCCTATTTGTGGAAAGAAGAAGGAGGAATAAAAAAGAGCCAGCTGATATGCCAACTAAGATGTGGAAATAGCCACCTCCTGATGAAAGACGCAAACACATTCCTAATCTAAATGTTAAGAGCAAAACATCTAATCTCCAGAACTAATTACCAGTAACTTCTTAAGATACCACTCACATTAGTTGAGCAAAGCTCCATCTTTTTTTCCACTGGATCTACCACAGAATGTTCCTCAATGTAAGTCAGAGTTCTACTTGTTCCTAAAATCTGAAAAGGAAGAAATAAAAAAATAAAGTTAAGTACTAAAAGCAAAACAAAAAAAAGCCTCTGAAACACAAACATGTCAAATTTCTACTGGCCCTAAATAAATAAAAGTAAGTAATGGATACCACAACAGTGGGATCACTGGCAAGACTACATCCTTGCAGATGGCATCAGCCATATAGCATGACACAGACTAGTCTGGAAGTATAGATATACAGACTCGATAGACATATAAAGCCTACAACGTATTCTCGCCACTAGGTACACTAATTACAGCTTATATGATATTTGTTGATTGTATTGCCTACAAATTAAGCTTTTACTTTGACTTCAGCTCCAGTTCTGGTGACAACATAAAAATGCATCACAGTCTTAGTAAACCATTATGACTGTCAAAGCGTACCGCTTTTACAATACTTGGCAATCCCCACTCTGTGCTGAGGAGACGGTGGCTATGCAACCTCCCCTGGTTATCAAGGGTTCTGTCAAGGACATCCACTCCTACCACACATGGATTCATTGGGTTGGGGTACTTTCTCATAGCAGCTTTGATCACTGTATCCCAGGGGTGTCTGTAAAAAGGAGACAGGATTTGTAACTATTTTGCATTTAATTGCAATTATTTAGACAATAATAACCAGGGATCTAGGTTGTGTAGTATGGCACATGTTGTACAACTCCCTAGCTCCCAGAAGTCTCTTCAGAATACAGCAGTGCTTGGGAAAGGAATAAGAAAGTATTGACACACAAACAGAAAAAAAATAATACTCCTTTCTCCAGAGTGAAGAAAGGAATTGCTAACCCAAGACTAACAGAAATGATGGCAAAGAGCAATAGCCACAAATTACTACAAGTAACATTCCAATTAGTTGTGCAAAAGCCCCACAATGACAGGGTAGCTGTCCACAGAGACGGCTCAATCTCAACGCATTTGAGAGCTTAACCAGAAAAGCCACCTGACCTAACACTTAAGTATAGCCATGCTTACTCCAAATAAATTCAAGAAGAAATCATAAGCTTCTGTTTCTTCCTGTGGCAAAAAAGCAAAGCAAAATTTAATTCAACTAAAAAAAAAAAATTAATCAAGAAGTTCAAAATAAATACTCCCCCCCAAACTCAGATTTTCAGAAACTATATCAGCTCGCTGCCTTAAGTGTACACCTACACTACCACTTCCAGCAGCTTGTTGCCTCTCAGCACAGAACTGCTTTTATAAAACAAGTTTTGGTAATTTCAGACTCCTGGAATAAGAGTAGCCCCACTCCTGGAGGCCAGGCTGCCCACATAGCTCTTGCTGTGGGACTTTATGTACCTTCTGAAACAGGACAGAGAAATTATGGCCTTGATCCAGTACATAAATTCTGCCTGAAGCAATGATTTCTACATTCAGAATAACTTATAGATCAGGAACAAAAGGTTTATAACCTTTAGAAGTACTTTTAAAAATTTAACTATTGGTATCTAAGTTAAGAAGGCTTAGGGGTGCCAACTTGTATGTAAGAGTTGCACTTAGGGCCCTAAATAGATTTGATTTTTAAGAACACTACTTTTAGTCTTCAAATAGATTGGTACAGAAGGGCATCAACTGTACACCACTGCCAGAAGAAACAGAAGCTTGGGAAAATAAGTTCCAACAAGAATGAGAAAAGGTCTTTTGGCCTTATTGGTAGAAGCAGGAAAAACAGAGCCCACAGTTCCTACATCAGAGGAAGAGCTGTAGGACTTTCCCTGGTCCTATTTTCAGTGACTATATCACAATATATTCCCTATATTCAGTGACTGTACATCACAATCAACAGAAGATTCACAAATGGAAAATGACAAATTTCTGCCAAGTGTCCTTGAGGGATCTAAAGAATCAGAGATCTGATAAGGCACAATAATAACGCCTGAACTAGCTAATCCCGCACACATGACACTGTAAGATAGAGGTGTTCCAGTATAGATCTTGATGAGAAAACACCAAACAAAAATCAGGTTTGTTTCACAGCCGTCAGATACTCATCTCTAACCCAGAACTTATGCCACATGCAAGCAGCCTTTACAAGCCTCTGCTTGCCATTCCATATTAGAAGCTACAGTTTGAATTCACAGAATCATAGAATAGCTTGGGTTAGAAGGAACCTTAAGGATCATCCAGTTCCAACCTCTGCCATGGGCAGGAACGCCTCTCACTAGACCAGGTTGCTCAAAGCCCCATCCAGCCTAGCCTTGAAAATTCAGCTGTGCTAATGTAATTAAGGAAGTTTAAAACAGCACATATTTTAAGAACTATCACCCCTGATGCTCTTCAGGATTTGAGTTTTAAGAGACCTGTAGCAGATGAGTTATTGGTGGCCTTTCAAAAGCTGCACTGGAACTGCTGCATCCTCAGGTCAGCACCCTGGTAAATCTTGTGTCATACCTGTTGACGTGTAACAGTAACCTTTTGCTTACTGCTCCCTTGTTAGACAAAAGTGGAACTGGATGGCCAGACCGGGTTCAAGATATCTTCGATGTGGAAAAAGACTGACAGTAAGAAAACTTACTCAATTATCACTTAATGCGTGTCTGCTAGGCATTTCTCTGAGAGTATCTGACAGCTAAGGTAAGATACACTGTCCCTCTGTCCACACCTCTTGGAACACATCGTCAAGTACGTCAGTAGTTTAGGATTTATGGGTTTTTTTTGGTGCGAAAAATGTTTTTCCTTAATTACCCACGTCTTTCCCAAGCAGTTCGGCTGTGGGACCACCCCCATCACTACCACCGCCAGGTGGAATGGCATTTCCAGCCGCAAGCGGTGGGACAAACTCTCGCACGGAAGCGCGACCACGCAGGAGGAGGAAGCTGAAGGTGATGAAGGACCCGCAGCGGGGGAAGCACTGACACACCGCCAGCCCACCCCGTCACCGGAGGAGTTTAACGCCACCACAGGCCAGCCCCCGGCCTCCCCCACCCGGGTTGCCTGTCAAGCCTTCGTGCCGGTATAACCGGTCAGGAGCTGCCGCCCTCAGTCTCCCTCCTCCAGCCGCACCCGCGGCATTTCCAATTTCCGCCCTCACCCGGGCAGGGCCCGGCTTGCCCGGCACGGCCCAGCCCAGCAAGGCGCCGGACAGCCGGCGGAAGGAGGGGTGCCGCCGTCCAACGGCCGCCGGCCGCGCGCAGAGGACTCGGTCCCCCCTTCAGCCCTCCCCGCCCGGCCCCTCACCCGAACACATGCTCCGAGCTCCAGATCTTCATGGCCGCCGCAGTCTCTCCTCACGGCCGGAGGGAAGCAAGGAGGCAGCGATCCACGCTCAGCAGCTCCTGACAGCCCCGCGCCTGCCAACCGGCCAGCGAGCACCAACCGGGGGGCGGAGCTCCGCGGGGCCGGCGCTGGGCGTGCCCAGCCGGCTCGTGCGTCACGCGATTCCGTCACCGCCTCGCCTTGCCCCGCCCACTGCCCCCGCCACCACCGCTCACGGTCGGGCTCAGGCTGTGAGGCGGCGGTGCGGGTGTAGCACGCAGTGAGGTGAAGTGTGTGTTGCTGTGCTGAGGAGTGAAATGGTGACGCTAAACGCCTTAATTCACCCAAAGGCCTTTGCACGAAGTGACTTTACAGTGGGCACCTCCGCGTAAAATGTGTTATATAGGGAAGACAATCCCTCAGGAGACAAGTTGTCTTCCTTCCGCCAGGCTTTGTTGAACGTTACCACAGGATAATGGGTGTCAACTGCAAGTGATAATGGTTCAATATGTGTATGGACACCAGTGACAAGTGGCATCCCTCAGGGGTCCATACTGGGACCAAGTACTCTTTTTAATATCTTCATCAACAACATAGTGGGATTGGAGTACTTAGAATACTTGTGCAGTTCTGGTGTCCTCAACATAAAAAGGACATGGAACTGTTGGAACAAGTCCAGAGGAGGGCCACGAGGATGATCAGGGACTGGAGCACCTCCTGTATGAAGACAGGCTGAGAAAGTTGGGGCTGTTCAGCCTGGAGAAGAGAAGGCTGCATGGAGACCTCGTATCTGAAGGTGTGCTCTATCTATCTCGTATCTGAAGGTGTGCTCTAGGGATGCTCAGGAAAGTCTCTTCATTAGGAACTGCAGTGATAGGACAAGGGGTAATGGGTTCAAACTTAAACAGGGGAAGTTTAGATTGGATATAAGAAGGAAATTCTTTACTGTGAGGGTGGTGAGACACTGGATTGGGTTGCCCAACGAAGTTGTGAATGCTCCATCCCTGGTGGTGTTCAGGGCCAGGCTGGGTGGAGTCTTGGGTGACATGGCTTAGTGTGAGGTGTCCCTGCCCATGGCAGGAGGGTTGGAACTAGATGATCTTAAGGTCTTTTCCAACCCTAACTATTCTATGATTGAGTGCACTGTCAGCAAGTTTGCAGCTGACAGGAAGCCAAATGGTGCAGTTGGCACACCTGAGGGATGGGAAGATAACATGGACCTGTTGGAGAGGGTCCAGAGAAGGGCCACAAATATAACCAGAGAAATGAAGCATCTCTCCTATGAGGAAAGGCTGAGAGAGCTGGGCTTTTTCAGCTTGGAAAAGAGAAGGCTCTAGGGAGACCTTATTGCAGCCTTTCAGTTCTTAAAAGGGGCCTACAAGAAAAAGGGGAAAGACTTTTTAGCAGGGCCTGTTGTGATAGGATATGGGGTGATGGTTTTAAACTAAAAGAGGGGAGATTCAGACTGGATGTGAGGAAAAAATTCTTTACGATGAGGGTGGTAAAATACTGGCGCAGGATGCCCAGAGAGGTAGTGGATGCATCATCTGTGTAGATATTCAATGTCAGGCTGGACCTGGTTCTGCGCAGCCTGGTCTAGCAGGAGGTGTCGCTGCTCATGGCAGGGGAGTTGGAACTAGATGACCTCTGAAGGTCTCTTCCAACCCAAACTATTCTGTGATTCTGATAAACCGGCTTTACTCGGCAAAGCCGCGAAGACCCGCCCCTTTCGGGGTAGCGGGGCGGAGGAGAGCCGGAGCGCTGAGGCCCTCCCGCGGCCGCAGGCTCTCCTGGCAGGGGGAAGCCCGCCCGTCTGAGGGGTGCTGGCCGTGCTTTGCCGCTCCCACACCGTCGGAGCCACCTCTCGGTTACCGGCTCTTCTCAGCGCCAGGCAGGGCGGGCCGCGGGGACGTCAAGGCCAGGGGCCGTGCCACAGTAAGGGTGACGGACAGCCACCAAGGGGCGGGACTTGTATGGGTCCTTCCGACGTAGAGGAAGTTCACGCAACAGCGCGATGAGGTCAGACGTCGCAGGCCGGGGCGGGCTGACGGCGGCGCGGGGCAGCGAAGGAGGAGGCGGTGGTGGGCCGAGGCGGCCGCTGGGGCCATGGCGCACCGTTACCTGCTGCTGGCACCGGGCAGCTGCCGGCGTAGGGGTCTGCCCGGCGTTTTGCTGCAACAGCTGCTCTGCGGGAGGGGTCTGCGAGGGGCGAGGCCCTGCCTGGCGCAGGTGAGGTGCAGCGTACGGGGCCAGTCGGACCCTCCTCCTCCCGTTAGCCGTAAACGAGGGATGGGGGGATGATGGAGGGCCTTGGTTGCCGTGGTGATGGGCGGGGTGGACCCGCCGCTGCCCGGAATCCCGGGGTGGGGATTAGCCCTCTGCTGCCTGTGGCCGAGGGCTCTTCGCTTCTCCCCGCGGCCTTCTGCGGCTCTCCTTCATCTCCTACCTGCTCGCACTTGCCCTTCCGGGCGGCGGGTACTGAGGGCCTGTGGCTGGGCGTGAGTGCGGCATCTCTTGGGTCGGAAGCAGCACTCGGGCGCTGTGCGGGAGTATATACGGAGCCGGCCGGAGGACAGCCGTTGTTGAAAGAGGGTGAGTCGACACCCGTGAGCTGCTGCTGCACGCTGCCGGTATCGCTGGGCTGCCAGCGGGTGTTCAGCTGATGTGGCCTACCTGGCTTCCACCTTATCAGTACGTCCGCTCGTGGCGATTAGCGTTAGGTGGTTTTGGGATTACCCGCACCCACCGTCTGTGCTGTGGGGTGTCGATTCGTTTGGGAGTTTGGGTTGTCAGTGAGTGCAACGGCAGTGTGTTGGGAAAGAGAAGGCAAACGGCCGGTTGTTGGCCTTGCCCGGTGAAATAGTGGTATGGGTTTGATTGAACCTACTGTTCTAATATTAACTGGTAAATTGTGGTGCCTGGGTATTCATTCTTAGTGAAATGGTTTAGATTGCCATCTGTTATAAGATTGTCCTGGGTTCAGCTGTAACAGTTATTTTTCTGCTTCCTAATAGCTGGTGCAGTGCTGTGTTTTTGACTTCAGTGTAAGAGCAATGTTGATAACACACCGATGCTTTTAGTTGTCACTAAGTAATGCTTACCCCGACCAAGGACTTTTGAGTCTCTCATGCTCTGCCAGTGAGAAGTGGCACAAGAACCCAGGAGGAAGCAGAGACAGGACACCTGACCCAAACTAGCCAAAGGGGTATTTCATACCAGAGCACATCATGCCCACTGTATAAACTGGAGGGAGTTACCCTGAAGGCCCAGATTGCTGCTCGGGTCAGGCTGGGTGTTGGCAGGTGGTGAGCAGTTGTAATGTGCATCACTTATGTTTATTGTTTTCCTTTTCCCTTTTTAGTTTTATATTCTCTCCCCTTGTTCCATTATCATTATTATTAGTAATAATAATAGTAATGGCTGTGTATAATACTTCAGTTACCAGACTATTCTTATCCTAACCTGTGGGATTTATGTTCTTTTGATTCTCTTCCCCATCTCTCCTGGAGTTGGGGGAAGGGAAGAAAGAGGGGAGTGAGAGAGTGGCTGCATGACTCGAAGTTACTGGCTCAGCTTAAACCATAACGAAGATGTGTATTACCCTTGTCAACCCAATATCAGAGGATTGACAGACCTATGCTACTGCCTAAGAAAAGTGAGGTACATAATTCCTGCATCTTTCCATGGCATCTTGGGCAGGTTTCTGCATTTTTCTATAGCGTATAGTGGCAAAAAGTTGCACCTTTGTAGGTATGAAGGTTATTACTAGGATAGTGGTAATTGTAGGATGAATGCCCATAAGGATGTTAGTAACTTAGTCATAGAAGCATAGAATAGTTAGGGTTGGAAAGGACCTTAAGATCATCAAGTTCCAACCCCCCTGCCATGGGCAGGGACACCTCGCTCTAGACCATATCACCCAAGGCCTCGTCCAACCTGGCCTTGAACGCTGCCAGTGATGGAGCATTCACAGCCTCCTTGGGCAACCTATTCCAGTGCCCCACAACCCTAACAGGAAAGAATTTCCTCCTTATATCCAATCTAAACTTCCCCTGTTTAAGTTTTAACCCATTACCCCTTATGCTATCACTACAGTCCCTAATGAAGAGCCCCTTCCCAGCATCCCTATGGGCCCCCTTCAGATACTGGAAGGCTGCTATGAGGTCTCCACGCAGCCTTCTCTTCTCCAGGCTGAACAGCCCCAACTTTCTCAGCCTATCTTCATATGGGAGGTGCTCCAGTCCTCTGATCATTCTCATGGCCCTCCTCTGGACTTGTACTAATAGATTCATGTCCTAAGTATGAATATATGTTTTGGTTTCAGAGTTGTATTTGTGGTTTTGTTTTGTCAGAGCTTTTATTGCAAGAGTAAATAAAACACTGTTAGCAGTATTGCTAATCTGTCCGTATGTTAATTCTCAGTTGTGTCAATAAAATGTAATGAGTTCTTATTTGTAATGGAACATAAGATCTATGAAGGGAACTTTGTATTCATCCTGGCATCTGTGTATGTGTCCAGGAAGCAAAACAAGGAGCTTCATTTTCATAAAAGCCTTTTTAAAATCATCTCACTTAAAGTAACTTGCATTAAGTTAGATTTCTTTACCAGCTTTCTGTCCCTACTCCCCCAACATGCTGTTATGTATTTTGATGACTATTAGATAATAAAGATTTTTTGGTTTAATTTTATTTTGCTTGATTTGGAACTTGTTTATGGATAAAGCTGTAAACTTATAATTTTATAGAGTTGATGAATTCTTGGTCTTTTGATCACATAGCTAAACAAATGAGTTTTCTGGTCTAGCTTTGTGTAGCCTCAGTTTAAAAAAATATAATTACAGTTACAAAATTTTTGTAAAGTCAGTAGTTCTGACTGTTTAAAATTATATTATTCAATATTGGAATTGTAGAGAAGGCACTTTTCTGCAGTTACAGATCTTGGGTTTATATTTCACTCTGGAGTAGTAACATTTTCTGGGTTTTTTTGTACTTTGCTTATCTTGATCTTAATAGAAAGAAGTCTTGACTTTTAGGAAGATGTCCCAAGGTTTGCCTGGGAAAAGATATTAAGGTTTGGTTTGGTTTGGTTTTTTTTGCTTTATATGCTGTGATAGTTCTTTCACCTCTGACTGAGAGAAGGTGGGCAGAGTTGCCTCATAGATAGTTTGAAGCAGCATCAAATCAAAATGTACTTTGCTTGCTTTCTCTCTGCTTAGTCAGTGGGTCTGCCTAGCTAAGCTTGCTGTGGCATTCCCCTTGCCAGGGATACAGGACAGGTCCTGTGTCAGGATCAATATGATCAGTTTTCATGCTGATGTTTTATAGAGTCAAAACCAAACAAAAACCTCCAACCAACCGAAACCTAAGCAGTTGTTACCACCATAACATAGTTCTAACAACTTTGTCATTTGTGGAATGCTGTGGTGAAAGGAAACTGCATGTTTCTGTAGACCAACTCACCTAGATCTGTCAGTAGCATAAAACAGCTCTAAACCACTGACCTCTCTGCATGTTAACTTTGCAGGTTACTCTGCATTTATTAATGGAATTTAGGATCTGTAGAAACAATCCAGCAATAAACCAGTTCGATTATTCAGGTGTGTCCCAGAGCTCTATCTGCTTACCCTTCTCTGTCTTCTTCCCCCTTCACTCTCAGATTAAACTATAACTGAAATCTGTAATAAACCCATGATGATGTAGCTGAGTCAGGCACTTGGATTTGGTTTACTTAAACTTTTCTTTTAAATGTGAACACTTGCTTTATTTTAGTTGGAGTAAATGTTTCTGAATACTCCCATCTCTTTACAAATAAAAAGTAATCTGAGTTTGTAGAATAATGAACTCCCTATTTTTTTGGTCGTGTGGGAGACCAGTGACATAGAAGAGAAGCCAGTATTACTGCATGTGTGTTTGAGTTTCATCTGTTGCTCCAACATTCCCTACCTGTTTTTATTTGAACTGCAGATGGGTTGGTTTGTGGCAAGTATATTTTATTGCCCACAGAGATGCATCCTACTTGTCTTACAGCTTCTTCTAGGAGCACAGATGCTGTTGCTCGTGGTAGAGGTCATAGTGTATTTGACCTAGTAGCTATTCTCTTGATTAGCTGCTGTCCAGACTATCTGCAGTGCACATGCTTTTCATGATCAGTAAACTATCCTCTTGGACCTTCAGTGTTAGACCTTATGCAGGCATGCAGTGGCACAAAGCGATGACTTTATCAAACAGCCTAAGAATTAGCTCAGTCTGCAGCAAAACCAAGCAACAAGGACGTTTTGGTATTCTTCTTGGCTCCAGCAGGTGGAACTAGGTGGCTGCTTGGAATAAGTCTAATGTATTTCATCATTTAATAAGGGGTGGAAAGGGAAGCTGTCAGAAGGCTTCAGGAGAGCTAGCATTCAATTAATGACATGTCAGCATTCCTCGGGTTCTCTCAGCATAATACAGTTTACATAAACCTCAAGTACATAAAGATACATAAACATGTAGCTTAGTATCCTACAAGTTTGTTTAACATGCAGAAATAAGTTTTGTCTACAAACATCGTAACTTGAATGTAACAAAACTGCTATGGTGATGCTAACATTGAGCTTTCCTTCACAGATGTAGTTCTAGAGGTGCTAGTCCTAGATGGACATTTGTTGTCTTGTGTGCTTACCTTGGGTCATGTTTCCAGGACCTACTGTTTTCTGGATTTGGGTTGTTTGGTATTTTTAACTATTTCTCTGGCTTTTAAGGTAAATAGAGTGTAATCAAAAAGAACACACATTAATGGAGTGCCTCTGTGGGGCAACAGTGAAGGGGGTAAGTTGGGATTTTTTGCTAAAACCTGTCCCTCTTGAAGAAAGAGGGTTTGATTTTCTGTATAAAATTGCAGTTTACTCTGCTTTTTAATATTCAGTTACAATAACATTTTTTTCTGAAGAATTAGTAGTTTAAATATTTGTATTTCCTTCATTGCACTTAAATGGTGAATAACAGTAAACATCAGTTTTATAACAGGGTGCTAATAGTCTTGGTTTTGTTTTGTTTTTATAACTGGATCATTTCCTGGGTTAGGTGTTTAGGCCTACTTTTTGAACCGGTGTTCCAACTCATGCTTGTACAGTCACAGTTAGTGTTGCACTTAAGTGTCATTCAGCTGGTATTATGAAATGTTTCACACAGGGTCAGTATGTAGGTATTTAATGTTCATAGCTTTTGGTGTTTCCTACTTAATTTTTCTCTTTAAATAATGTTTGTATGTATGAAACTCTCTGTTCTTAACAAATAGAATAAAAATGTCCTTGCTATAGAAATTACTTATTTGATTGACTTTTCCTTTTCCATTGTTGTCTTACACTCTGGTCCACAGCAGTTACTGTGAAGTCTGTTGTAAAGTTCCTCTTGTAACAGTGATACCGAGTTGCTGCAGTCAGGACTGCTAGATAGTTTGAAGATTTTCATGGCACCTTCTTGTTGATTTATATTTGTTTCTCATCTTTCAGCTCTGTGAAAAAGTTACCACTGGAGTTACTACTGACAGAAGTACTGTCTTGGCAAGTGTGATTGCTGCTTGTAGAAGGCTTTTTTCTCAGCCTCCCAAAGGTGATTATAACTTTGATCAGTGAACTGAAGCAGACTGCATTCGTTGCTGCAACACTGCACTTGTGTGCCATATATGTTTATTGTCTGTGGGGCAGTAAGTTCTTGTACTAACCAGCCATTAATATTGAGCTGGAACATTGATACATGGGAGTTTTAGGAGCTATTAAAGAATGACTGCTGTGTGCTCAATTTCATGCTATGCAATGCAGTTTTCTGTTGAACTTAGCTTTTCTCTCTCTGGTTTGAAGGATAGCTTTACTTTAAGTCATTAAATACATTTCATATTTTCTTGTCAGGAGCAGCGGATTCACTTATGGAAACCTGGTAGAGCTCTTCCATAAAAAGGCAAAACCAAAACCATTTGTGCAGCCTGTGTGTTGCTAGCTGCTTTGCTGTTCTGTACAGTCAGCTTCTGACTACTGAAGTGTAATTGTAAACTAAAAACCAATTATGAGCTTTTGAACTCTTTCTTAATAGGATTTGAAAAATATTTTCCTGGTGGGAAGAAGTCTAATGGAGTTAAAGGTACAGCTGGAGAAACAAAAGGTACAAAAATCAGCTTCATTTCAGTTGTTTTTGTGGAATGTGTATTCATTAGATTTTAGCATAACTGTGAGTTTGGGGTTTTTGTTTATTTTCTGGGCAGATGTTCCTCTACCAGGTTAGTTTAAAAATGCAAATATATATCTATATTTAATGTTATTTTGCTTTCATATCATGTATGCCTTCTGGAATATTTTATTTTCTTTTATGCTTTTGTTGGAATGCTGTCCTTAAATTCTTGTTTCACTGTTTCCTGTTAGTTGACATCAGTAATGCATTCAGATATTCTCTATGTGTATAATTCTCAGCTTTCCCTGGAGCAACCTAAAATACCCATTTTTTTTTTTTATAGAAATAAATCAGAATTGTAATTCTGGTTGAAGGTCCAGAACCAGCTTTATAGCCAGGACCAACCATGCAGCCTGCTGCTTGAAAGAAGATTTAGTAGCAGTAGTGCTAGAAGGAGTTCTATCTTTACAAAGAGGGTGAATCTGTAAATTATAACTAATAACAGCTACTCCGTTATATCAGAAATCTATATGACACATCTTTCAAAGAGAAGGAGAGGAAGCAACCCTGTGAGTCTCTTAGGAGAGCAGTAATAGGAGCAGCAGTTTTCCTCCCACTAGGCTTTGAATGATAAAAATCTAGTGTCATGCCTGGATTTCCCATTACCAAACACTTGAAAGAGCTAACGGTGGAAGGATTGTGTGTTAATGTTGTGCTCCATCTTGCCTTGAGTATGTTAACATGACATGCTACAAGCATGCAGACACCTTGTAAACTGGATGAGTAGAAGAATTAAGATGAATTCCTCCCCTGTAGTTGGCTGTCAATGTGCTTGCTTGTCTCTATGATATTAAAAAAGTATGACAGCCTGTGACATTGATTAAACCCTGAGCTTTAAGAGCACTATAGAGTGGCTGGAGGGGTAAATTATGTGAGATGTTACTAGAGCTTATAATGGAAAACAAACTACAAAGCAAATTACAACAACCCACCTGCATCCTCCAAAACCAATGCAAAGCCCCCCCAAATCTTTCACCCCCAACAAAGTGCTTAGAATAATCTTGTGTGTCATGGAGTAGTGCAATGGAAGTAAGTTTCATGCTGTCCCCATAAGAGGCTCCTTTTTTATATTTGTGGCAATTTTCAGTTCTTTATGCCCAAGTGTCATCAGTTAGACAAGTATCAGACCACCCTTCTGATCATAACTAGGAGATGGATGTCTCTCTGCCAGTTAACTGACTATATATGTTTTTCTAATTTTCTTCTCATTGTTAAAGCATTGCAAAGTAGTTAATTTTTGGTTTTGGAATAACTTTTTAAGACTAATAAAAATAGTGTGAAATTGATATAAGAAATTTTGTTTGGTTTGTTATATTTTATTTTTGTTAGAAGCAAAGCAGGCCAGTGCCCGACAGCCCAGTGGGACTAGTAGTGGAGGAGGTGGCAGTGGTGGAAAAAAAGGTGGCAAGAAAGAAGAAACTAACTGGTGGACCAGATTACAGAAGGTCTTGCCTTTAAGATATTTTTTTTGTGGTACTGTCTTATCCCTGTGAAACAACCTTGCGTTTATATGCATGTTTTTTTGCTTTTTTTTTAGGGTCATATTCTGATTGCCTAAATCTTCCTTAGTCTCCTGTGTTTAATATTTCATAGTAACTGGCTCTAGGTGGCTCCCCACTCAATGTCTGTCATAAATAAAAGTTTTGTATATTCCTTCAGAGAGATCTAACTCTGTTTCAGGAACGTTAATGGAGTTTTAAGCCGTATCAGTATGGTTGGTAGTAGCCAGAATTCTTATAATGGAGCCTTAGGCCTATAAAAGCTTTGTGTTTTGTTTCAGGATGTCAATTTGTAAAACTTGCTGACCACACCACCTTAGTTAACATAGTTTACTGTTAGCCATTCTGACCATAATGTAATACTTATGTAAGTTTCTTTTTGAAATTTGCATTTATTATCATCAGCTGTACCACAAAGATGCTTGGTGTGCATGATTATTTTTCTTCCTGGGTTTTTCTTGGTTTTTTTCCTTATTTTTGTTGGTCTGGCATGTAGTCTTGGAGGGCAGGGAAAATTGTTTTAGAGTGGAGAGAGAAAGGTCCTAGATGGCAAAACTGTTTTAAAGTAGTTCATAGACCAAAACTGTCCAATTGCTATTTGTAAAACACTGAAAGATTTTCTACTAATGCTGTAATTTCTCAGTTATATCTGATGCTACTGAAGTGTGTTTGTACAGTTTTGTTTGGCATTCTCTGTAGTAACCTTGAGGGCAGGGAGAGGAGCCAGAAATAGGTACTAGAACCTCATGTAGTTACTGTAGTACAGAGCGTAAAACTTTTTCTTTTTTTTTTATCTTTTTTCCATTCCCTAGGGTGACATTCCATGGGATGTCAGGGAGTTTCGGATGTACGTAGTGGGAAGTTCTTTTTTCTGGACAATGGTGGTATATTACTTCTTCTTCAGGGTCCCTGGAAGAGAAATCACATGGAAAGACTTTGTCAATAACTACCTTTCTAAAGGAGTGGTAAGTTGTGAGGGGAATCAAAATGAAAAATCAGTGTGCTGAAGATGCACGTTTCTGCCTCCCTGTTTATGCTTGTATTCATGTGTCTGTGGAGGTTCAAGGGTAACTTTTGAGGGAGAAATGGATTAGCTTTCATTGTAATCAGTTCCTTGATCTGATGTTCTGCATGTCTGTGTGAATATTTGTGTCACTTCAAGAGAGGAGAGGGGATGAGCAGCTCAGGGCGGAACTTCTTTGTTGGATAGTTCGTGTTGATGATAGTTTGAAGGGGCAGTGTAACCTTAGTCTCTTTGGGTATAGTTTTATACTACAGGTGAGCTGGCCTAATGGCTTGAGCAGACATGCCAGCTGCCTTCAGAAGAAACTTACGGCTAACCTTAAGCACTTCCATGAGCCCACCCCCCTGAATTAAAAATAAATGCTTGTTTCGTGCCTTAAATGAGTTCCTCAGGGAATCTGAGGAGCAGCAGTGTGAACTGAAAGGTGGGGGAGGAGAATGGAAGAATCCCTTCAAAGACAGTACATTGGCATAACAGTGTTGTAAAATAGCCTCCTTTCTTTGTTTTCTCCTCTTATTTCTTCTTTCCTTCTTACCTGGAGCCACTACTGGAGCAGTCAATTTTATCATCAGTGTCCTATCTGTCTGTAGAACTTGGAAGCTTTCCACACTTGGAGTTATAGGTTAGTGATGTCCTAAGTTCAGGAGAGTGTTTTACACAGGCCTTTTCCTCTTCAGGAGCCATTAGTTCTTGGCTCTGTTAAGTCCCGCTTTGTAGCTGTGCCTGCAGGTTAGGAAAACACTGACTTGCTTCCTCCTGTGGGTTTCACACCTGGGATTTTGTATTAACAGCATGCTTCCTACCCTTCCATTCCTTAGATAAAATACCAAACAGGTTGTTTCTTACCTTTCTTTGTCTTACTGATCTATGCAGAACTGCTCTGTATGCTTCTTTTCTGCCTAGGCTGTGTCTTGCAGTCATATTCTTAACCAACAATTATGTGTACATCTTGTGGAAAAAACCTTACAGATTATATTTGTCACAAAGCAGTAAGACACTAGCTAGATAAGATCAGTTTAGCTGTTAAAATGAGCGAAGCCTGAAGCCTTGTTGCAGAAAAGCATTATGAAAGTGGGCTGTTGCACAAAACAAGTCTCTCAGGTCTTTTTAAGATGCAGTCTGGATATTCAGATAAGCTAAATATATGTCTATCAGGTACTGTTGGTCACCATAATGGTGACAAGTTTGTGGAGAGAAGACATCAGCAGTACTAGGTTAGGGCTAAAACAGAGCTGTTCAGATACCTTTGCATGAGGTCAGGCTAGATCTGGGTGGCTTCTTACCTCAGGCTAGATCTGGGTGGCTTCTTAGCTCATGCTTTACTTAAGTCTACCAGAAATGGTCACATGTAGTGAGTTCAGGGAAACAACCTTACTAGCCTGTGTATGGTTCAGGCTCAACTTGTAGAACCATTGCTAGATTTAAATTCTTTAAAGCTTTTGAAACCACTTATTTTATGGAAAGAGGAAGGAAAAATGGAGAGAAACTTCAATTGCCTTCTGAAAAGACCTTGTCAAATTCAAGAAAAAAACCATTTGAGGAGACTTCCATGAAACTTTTTCTGTTTTGGTAGCATGTATCTGCAAACCTACAGCTTAATTCCTATTTTAATTTATATGGTGTCTGTTACCTCAGCTAAATTTTTCTTTATCTAATTAATGTTACTGTGTTTAATGTGGTAGCACGGGAAGTCTTTTGTTTTAGGGAAAACAATTGAAAGAGCAAAGTTATATTTTCCCTCATTCTGTTCAGTTTGGTTTATTTTGGAAGCTGCTACAAGAATTTGGAGTCATGTTCTATTGCTTTTGGTGTTTTAACCATTGAAATAGTTAAGTATTTTTCAACTATTTCACTGTATCTGTGATTTGAGCTGAGGGATGTGCAATGGGTTTTTTCCATGAAAAGGCTATGAAGTCATCCTTTCAATCTAAATTCTAATGTGCAGATATTCTGTGCTTACCAGTTGCATACATGGTTCCTCATGCTATTCCTAATGGCAAACTGTAGATTGTGTAATTATCTAGATCTGCAACAATTAATTTTATTGTCCTTACTTGAAAACAGAGCAGGTATGTACATATTTGGTATATGGAGCTCTTAGCTGTGATGAACATGCAGTGACTGTACACTCACCAGGTTTCCTCTTTCCTTCTACAGGTGGACAGACTTGAAGTTGTGAACAAGCGCTTCGTTAGAGTGATCTTTGTTTCAGGAAAGTCTCCTCATGAATGGGTAAACACTTTTAGTACATATACATAAGACATTAGAAACAAAAAAAAAGCCTTTTTTTTTTGTTTTAGGTAAATTTGATGTAGAAAAATTAGTCTGGAGTATGAATAATCTTTTAATCTAAAACATTTTGTGCCTTACTGTTACATTATCCTACGCTGTGTCTTTTCCACTTTACTGTACCGCTTGTTTTGCTACAGTTATCTTAAAACTGACAGGGAGTGCCTTTCCAGCATCATCTTTTGATACAAATACTCAAACAGGAAGAGTGAGAACTACTGAAGTTTCTGTATTTTTAACTGCTGTTTTCAGTCTGCTCAAGAAAATCCCAGGCTTATGAATCTTTTCTGTTCCAGACTGCTTTTAGCCAGTTATTAGAAAAAACAAAGAGAAATGTTTAATTTTGTCTCTGTCTGATACTATAGTCTTTAATAAGCTGAGAGCTCTCATTCTGGAGAAAATGACTCATTGGCGGGGACCATTTAAATAAAATGAAAACATAGAAGAAGCATTAAATAAGCTTTATCTGATTACTTCTTCCTAGGTGGTGGAGTATGTTTTGACTGATTTTCTGAAGCAAGGTCTGCAAGTCCCTTTGGGATAAAGTGAAATTTGCAGCAGTTACTTCATCAGTGGGTTTCAGAGTGACTTATTTATACACCTACTCTTTAGCCCAGATACCACCAGTTACCCTAGTTTCTCAATCAGTTACTACTTAGGACTACTCTTTTTTTACTCCATTAGGGTAAGTAGGGGCAAGTCAGGCAGGTCATGGTGCAAAAGGGGAGATTTCTGTGAAAAAACAAATCTCAGCACCGTTTAAAAGTTCTGTCTGGGGTTTGCTGCCTTTTGTAAAGACAGCTAACTGAAAGCTAATACAGACTTCAAAAGCAGAGAATTGTCTTTCTTCATTTAAGTTTTATGGCTGCTGTGTTTGCTGGTTCAGTGCTCTGTATTATTCTGACGCCATGGCTCCCTTTTCACGATCTGTTTATGTACTTCCCTTCTGTTTGTTCCTGGAGAAAACACCAGGATTCAGTCTATTTACAGTGCCCCAAAACTATTGGGTGTATGATCTCTGTAGGAGTAACGATAGATACAGTTTGGTTGTATTCAGATTGGTAGGCCTTAGGTTTGTAATGTGCATCTTGCATCAGTTGCACACTTTATGTGGCAACTTAAATTTGGCCTGAATCTGTTCTGAGGATGCTTGTGTTATGTGTTAAAAGAAGTTGGCTTGTAGTGAAGCTGAAATAAGATAGGGCACTTTGTGGTGATCTCTGTTTTTTTCTTATAGCAGTACGTCTGGTTTAATATTGGTAGTGTGGACACTTTTGAACGGAATCTTGAAGCCGTGCAGCAAGATCTGGGAATAGAAGTGGAGAACAGATTGCCTGTAGTCTATTCAACAGAGAGTGATGGGTAAGAAGTTGCTTTAAAAGAGCCTCTGATTAAAAAAAATGGTTATGTTTACAGTAGAAAAATAGATTTGTAATACATGCACTGTATGTTTCACTAGGTGGCAGTGTTATTAGAATAACAATCATCTTGGGTTTATTTTTGAACGTTAACTGTAAGAGGAGCTGTTCAGTAATTTGTCTATGTAGAAATCCATATCCTCTCACCCTAAATATAGCTTCCTATTACATAAATGTTTGTTTACAATTAGTCCCTCCTCCATTTAAACCCTCCCTCCAAGTGACTTGCACCAGAGCAAGAGTCAGCCAGGCACACCTGTAGAGCTCCAGAGATGGCACTCGTGCAGACTTTTGAACAGACAAAAATATGTCATAGAACTGCAGTATATTGTCTGAGATGTAACACAATTTCTGCCCTTAAATTCAGCAGAAGTCGAATCCTGTGGCAAGAAATCGGTGATTAAGTAAGTCACACTAAAGCTGCCTGTTAGTTCTGCCCCAGAAATGCCCCAGGAAACAGGAGAGCACGGCAGCTGCATGATCAAAGTATTACTGGTCCCTGCTGCATCAGAATCTGCTGAATACCACAGGATAGAGAAAAATTATTTTCCTATTCATCCCATAATTGGGGGATATCAGTAAAGCCTGGTAATCCTGTGCTCCCTTGTGATAGTGCTTCTTAACATTTTGGTTTTGCAGCGTGTTGACAGCACCACTTGTGAGCTGTTCCTTGAAGGTCTTACTGTAGAAGAATCTGTGGAGTCCTCAAATACTCTGATAATTAGGAGGGTGTTAATACTAGGGTTTTCTTGGCTTGTGCAGAGCTGTGCTAGAAAGCTGGAGGACAGACAGTGAAGGATAGTGGGCAATGAGTAATGAAAAAAAAAAAAAACCCTAGCATAAAACACCCTGTGGCCTTGGGGAGGGAAATGGAAACATTGAAAGAAGAAAACATAAAAATTGAGCTAGACCTAAGGGAAGAAGTGTGAGTATGTGTTTTGGAGAGAGGTTTCTGCTTGAAGTTGTAGCATACACATTATATACTACGTAGTGGAACTTAGTTTGAGAATATATCCATTTGCATACTAAGCCCTAGGAATATACCTTTGAAGGACACAGAAAATACTTCTGTTTACTAGGTAATGCAGCTTTCCTCTAAGACTCATCAGTGTCACTTGGTGTACTTGGTTTAAAAGCAAACAAAGATTAAGAAAACTTTTTTTTTCCTCATGTTTATTTTGCAGAGTGAGCAACCTGCAAAATGTAAACGTTACAAGTTAATAGAGTGTTAGTCCTGAATTTGTTTGCTTATGATGGAACCAGCATCTTGTACGATACATGCAGCAATGGATTTTTGTAATATGTGTGGTTTTCTGCTTTCTTTGTTTTTTCTCCACAGGTCATTTCTCCTGAGCTTGCTGCCTACAATCCTGATTATTGGTTCTTTACTGTACACGTTAAGAAGAGGTCCTGCAGGCTTAGGTCGAACAGGGCGTGGAATGGGTGGACTTTTCAGTGTGGGTGAAACCACGGCGAAGGTCCTTAAGGATGAAATAGATGTTAAATTCAAAGATGTAGCTGGCTGTGAAGAGGCCAAATTAGAGATCATGGAGTTTGTTAACTTTCTAAAAAATCCCAAACAATATGAGGATCTGGGAGCAAAAATTCCAAAGGTAAGGGAATGATGACTTAGCAGATTAAAACTTTATTCTTTTGTTAGTCCTCAGCATTCTAAATTGTACAGGAATGTTCACATATGCAGTGCTTTCCAGCTTCTTTCTTCACACAGTTGAGGTGTTGGGGAAAGCACATTAACTCCCAACAGTATAACTGTGATACCAGAATATTTGCCTCGTGGAACACTTTGTTCACGTGGATTAGAAATTATAAATGGCTTGCACGTGTACCTTCATTCTTGTATATAATTGTGCTATAATTGCCTTTTGGCTGTGCTGTCATTGGAGCCCACCCGATGACATACCTTTGGGTTTTCTTTTAATGTGTTGGCCAAAGAAAACACTGTTTCTGTAAATCTAAGGCAGCATGGCAATGATGTATGGTTTGTTGTTTTGGTTTGGTTGGTTTGTTGTTTTTTTTAACCTTCTGCTGTTTAAATGAGAGAATAACCTTCAGTTTATTGTCTTGCAAAACTTTTACTGTGGTGGAAGAAGAGCCAGTGGACCAAATAATATACATAATAATATGTAAATCTTTGACATAAGCTATTTTATAGGCTAATATTATGGGGGTTTTATGAGGAAAATGTACATGTTTCTCTTACAGGGGGCAATTCTGACAGGTCCTCCAGGTACTGGGAAAACACTGCTAGCTAAAGCTACAGCCGGAGAAGCTAATGTACCATTTATCACAGTCAATGGCTCGGAGTTCTTAGAGATGTTTGTTGGTGTGGGTCCAGCTCGAGTAAGTCTTCGGCCTTCTTCTTTTGTTTCAGTATTAGTTGTTAAAAGGATGTTGTCAAATCTGGGAGGCAAACAGTTTGATACCAGCTGAAGTTCTTTCATCTGTGCAGCTTACTTAAAAGTGATACCAGATGCTTGTGTAAGCGCAAGAGTCATACATGCACCTTTCATAAAAGTAACTAATGCAGTTCGGTAACTGCTTGCAGAACATCAGGACCTGAAGAGTTTACCTCTTTGCAGGAACGTAAGAAAACAGAACTCTCCACACTCTGCTCTGAAGTAAATTTATTAGCTGGGTCGGAAGTATGCAGCTCATGTGACTACTGCTATGGGAATGTCTCCTTCTGCTCTAAATTTTCTTGTTTCTTTGAAGAACTGTATTCTCTTTGTAGTTCCAGACTCCTAGAAGGAAATAGTTGTCTGGACACACAAACGGGCTTCTAGTTGAAACAGGAGTCTGAGGGTCACAAACATTAGGTTGCTTTCTGGAGGCCAGGTGATTCACATAACCAAAAATCTGTGTAACATTTTTTTTGTGTTCTTTTGCCTTAACTCTCTTAAAGTAGCTCATTAAAAACATACAAAGTTATATAAATGAGTTACTGATAATATTTTACAAATGAGGTGGGTAACACAAAAAAAAACCCTTTCCTCCTAACGTCCAAAGTTACAGTCCATTTTCAGCAGCTCACACCTTTACCAAACTCAACTCTCTTGTCTTAAGCCTTAAACAGTATACTGCGAGGTGACATGCTTTTGGAAAGCTTAACATTTTTCTGTTGTAAACTCTGTGAACAGACTGAAGGAAGCAAACTTGTAGGTTTTACTCATATTTAAAAGCTAACTCTGCTAGCATGAAGTGGGAATTATTTGGGGTCTTGATTTGAATTTGAAAGGGAATGGCTTTTACCAGGTACATAATGTACTTTTATGTCCTGTGAAGATACACAGGAAAACTCACTTTGAGCAAGTTTTTTAAAGCCCTGAAAAACTGAAGTTTTCACATGTGTTAGAAGTTAGCAGATAAACTGTCTGAGATTTGGTCCTTAGTTTGTCACAGTTGTGAATGCACGAGCCTCTTGCAAGCATAGGTCTCTTTTGATGGTGTTGTATTGTAGGTCTGGTAACTCAGAACCACGCAGCCGCTTGCTCACTTCCCCTCTTCTTTCCTCTAAGGAGAAAGGGAAGAATGTAAATCCCAAGGGTTGAGATAAGAAGCTGAACCCAGGACAGATGGTGTCTTGCTGGAGCTCTTCCAGTAGCATATGTGGGAAAAGATAGGAGATGCCAGGTGATTTTGCATCTTCTGAAAAGGAAAAAGGGAAGGGGGGTGGGGCACACATGCAGGTAAGCACAAAGCTTGGAACTGAGAAGAATGGGAGCTGCTCAGAAAGTTAAATGCAGAAGCTAGTTGGGAGTGGAAGCTTCAGTGAGGATGCAGAGAGGGTCTGGAATTATATAAGGAAACTGGCAAAAGGAGCTGCTTGCACTGAAAAAGTGGCTGAAAGCCAGAAGGTATGGAGACAGTGATTGTGTATGTAAGATGAGTGAGACTTGGGAAAAGGGAGCATGCAGTGTAAAAGGAGCTTTACAGAGGAACAGTAAGAAAAGGAACTGATCCATATTGTATTAATACCAGCTTAGAAGAGACCTCAGGGATAATCTGGTGCAACCTTTCTTGGCAAAAGCGTGATCTAACAAGGTGGCCCAGCACCCTGTCCATCTGAATCTTAAGTGTCCTCTGGGAAAGTATTAGATATCCTCAAATAATAAGAATACTCAAACTATGTTGTCGTTAGCTCTCGGTGCATACCTAAACTGCCCAGAGCAAAGTGACTTAACCTCTTTTTGCTGGTCTATGCAGATGACTATCAGCTTTTACTACCCAGTGAAATCTGTTGACATAACAGTTTGGCTATGAATGAAGGTTTCTACACAGTCCATAATTTCTGATGCCTGTAGAAAAAAACATGAGAGACTTATAGTTTCATTTCCAATAAATTTAGTAAGCAAGATGGTGATGCTAAGTTGATTATTTGTAGATCAGGATTTGCTAGAATTAAAATTGCTTACACTGCCCTGGTTCCTTGTGGAAAAAATAGTGGTATAATTCTGGATTTCTGTCTCTTTCCAATCAAAAAATAGTTCACTTTGAGCATGACACTTTTTCCTTGTTCATCGTGTTCCTTCTGCTTTATTCCTTGTATTGTTCTTGAATTCTGCTAACAAATCAGAATGACTTTCTGCATTAGAGCAAACTGTTCAAAATGTGCATCTCTTCACACCCCCATACATTGTTTGTCATCAGAGAAGCCTTCCCTAATTGTACCTCTAGCCTACAAAGTAGTAAAGCCCTGAACTGCATGTAATTCTTCACAGGTCAAAATACTTTCATCAGTTTTCATTTCCTGTTTGCTCCAGTTCAATCCATTAGTTGTAGATCTGTTGACTTGCTGAACTGGTTTCAGTGGGGTTCTTCTGATGCGTTCTCAAGCAGAGTAACATCGTAGTGTTGCATCTTAAAGCCAGTTGCATTGTGCCGTAACTACCAGAACAGAATTTGATAGGTAACATCTTACTTAAAATGTGAAAGTCTAAACACATTTTGTTTGTTTCCTGTTGTCTTGGCCATTTTTTCCAGACTTTTGGAAGTTAATTTAACTTTCAAATAAATATTTGGAGGTTAATTCAGTTTTTCTAGCCCATGTAATAGACAGGATGGCTAAGAGTCAATATTTATAATAGTATATTGTTAGAATACAACGGTAAGTGCTTTTAAGTAAGCCTTAAGCTCACTGTAGGAGCTACATCACCCTGTTCTAACTGCAGAAAAGCTTAAAACATTTTTATTTCCTAGCTGTGAAAGATGACTGTGATAGCATGCCCCTTCACATTCCAGTTCTGCTGATAATACTGTGTGTTAAAAAAAAAAACCCTTAAAAGAGAAATCTTGCTTTAAATCCTTCAAGTTTGGAGGCCTTTAGAGCTGAAGTTTAAGATATATTTCAGTTATTCAGGAAAAACAGTTATCTCTTAAGGCTGTTAAGTTGGTTAATGTTCTTAATGTACGGATTAAGACAGAATTTGTCAACCTGTGGGCCTCCTCCCTAAGTGATTATTGCTCAGCAGCAGCTGCAGTGTAACTTACCATTGCCTTGAAAGCTGGCTGGGGGCTTTGGGACACTTACTAACAACCATACTCAATTACAGTGATACTGTTATTGATGTACCTTTTCCCCTCCTAACCACCACAACTCTGAGCAGTTACAAACCAATCTGATACATCCTCTGTTCTCCTGTTAAGGTTAGAGACTTATTTGCTCTTGCTCGTAAAAACGCCCCCTGCATTCTCTTCATTGATGAAATAGATGCAGTAGGAAGGAAAAGAGGAAGGGGCAACTTTGGAGGACAAAGTGAACAAGAGAACACGCTTAATCAGCTTCTAGTAGAAATGGATGGTAAGTATTCAATGTCATATGTTATAACAGCAAGGATAAGGGAAAGAACTAATAAGCTTACTTAGACCTGTTAGCCAGGATTTGGGTTCTAGCTTAAATCTAAATTGAGTGTGTTTCCTTGCTTCCTAAATGAAAAATGGTGACTCATTTTGCTGCAGCCTGATGTTTTGCTAAAATTTGTTAGAAAAAAGACCCATCACTCTGCATCTGCTAACTGTTTGTCATAGTTGAATAGGAAAAAAAAATATTTTTGCATGAGACCAGTCTGTTTGTAAAAAATACAGCTAGCCATGCTGGTTCTGCAACTTCCTGAGCAGTTAATCTAGTATTGCATTTTGAAGATACAGCAGGATTTGATAGAGTACCTCACAAAGCAGAGCCCAAGGCCATTTGTTGCTTGTTATGAAAAGCATGACAATACTGTAATAAATGGAAGTATTTTCAGCTTTAAGGTCATTTGTTTAAAGTGCCAATTCTTATGTGGCCCTGTAAACCAGACAGTCTTTCTGTATTTTTAATGGAAATCATATTTACACAGATTTTCTGTTTATTACATTTCTTCAACAGGATTTAATACAACCACAAATGTAGTAATTTTGGCAGGTACTAACAGGCCAGATATTTTAGACCCTGCTCTGATGAGACCAGGACGCTTTGACAGGCAGATTTACATTGGTAAGTTTTGTATGCATTGCTGTATACTTCTGCATCTGTAGAGTACCAGTGCAGCTATTTACCTAAGTAACTTCCTTGCACATGTTCAATTAGAATATATATATGTGAAAATTAAAAGCATACTTCTTTTGTCTTAAAGGACCCCCAGATATAAAAGGAAGAGCATCTATTTTCAAAGTTCACCTTAGACCTCTGAAGTTAGACACAGTCTTAAATAAAGATAATCTAGCAAGAAAGCTTGCATCGCTAACACCTGGTTTTTCTGGTAAGTCACTCCTAATGTCACTGTTGTCCGCTTATTATATAAGCTGTAGATATTTGATTTCACTACTGCTTCTGGTTTTCTTGTACCTGATCTTCTGGATGGTGCTCTATTTTATTGCATTTACTGATATGGCATGAAATTCCCTTTGCCTGTTCTAGCAAGTAGGCGATTTCTGAGCACCTTAAATTGTCTGCCTCAATCAGGGTGACATACCAAATGGCAGTTTCTTCTGCCTTCAGCAAAAGCAGCCCAGAGATTTCTCGTTGCTACGACCCGTGCATGTATTCTTCCTTTTAATATGTCGCAGTCTTTGAACACTACTAGAGAAAAAGTAGGGTTTGTGTGCATATTCTGTAGGGCAATTTCTGTTTCTGGATGCAAAAACTCTTCTCCCTGGTAGGATACATCAAACAAATACTTCACTGTAGCTTTCTACCCAAGAGAAAAATCCTAAAGCCTGTACATGTATTTAAATATCTCTTAAAGAGTCATATTATGAGTAATGTATTATTTCAGAGTGCATTACCTTCAAGCTCTGGAAGTTCAAAAAGAGAATCTGGAGAAAATTAATTCTAGAAAAGGTTATCTTTATGCTTGACTGAGAGAAAACTATTGAAAATTATGTGTAATTCATATCTTCTCTTTCAGGTGCTGATATTGCTAATGTTTGTAATGAAGCTGCTTTAATTGCTGCAAGGCACCTCTCAGACGCCATAAACCAAAAGCACTTTGAGCAGGCAATTGAAAGAGTTATTGGCGGTAGGTGAATTGCATCGATAGTTTTCTCAAAATTGTAATATGGCAGGTGACTTCCTTTTTTATATGCGTGCAGAAGGCCACACTTTGAATATTTCTCCTGCTCATGGTTGTATTGTTTTATTTCTCCTAAACACACCTGAGATTTAGGAAAGAAGTATCCTGTCTATATTACTGACTTCTGTAGTGGAGAAAGGGGTACAGAGAGAAATTTCAGCAGGATGCTTTTCTAATCTTCAAAATTGCAAGAGGAATAGCTGTTGGGATTTAGTAATGCTTTTAACTGCTGTTAGCCTGAAATAGTTAAGAAAACTTTGATTTTTATTTTTTTTTTAAGAAAAATATTTAAAGTTTGAATATTCTTAATCTTATAGTTTGAATCTTGAAAATCTAATGAGGGACAAAGTTACAGTAAAACCTGGAAGAGAAATTTCACCAGTTTGCAAGTTCTGGGTTTTTTTAACTTTATCAGTAGATTATATACCTGGCATCTATGTGTTGCTCGCAGTGTCTCTAAGTGAGAGATCCCTAAATGAGGTAAGGGGTTTCCGTGGAAAAAGGTATGTCTGAAACTACTAATCACATTTATTTTCAAAAGGTTTGGAAAAGAAAACTCAAGTACTACAACCAGAGGAGAAAAAGACAGTAGCATATCATGAGGCGGGGCATGCAGTTGCAGGGTGGTTTCTGGAACATGCTGATCCACTCTTGAAGGTAAAGGAAACTAATTGGAACTAGTATTGTAACAGTAGCACGGACAGCATCTTTTCTTTAATGTTGAGAGGGTATTAAAATACGTAATCTTGCAAAAGACAGTGTGTGTAGATTTTGCAGTACTTTGGATTACTTCCTGTAGCTTCCTTAACTGTTTTCTGACTTGGCTGCTACAGGGTTTGTAGTACAAATGTCCTTGGAAAATTAAAGGGACCTCATCTTCCCATGAGTCTGCCTGCCTTGATAGCTGCTTTTTCTCTGAGGCTTTTAGTACAGGTCAGTGGTTTAAATTAATCTTGCCTGGTTATGCAGGTAGACACCTCTTCAGGAATGTAACTACAAAAATTAACATCTAGGGGCTGATTTTAGTTCTAATTTACTTTTTGGATGCACAGTTTGACAAAAAGATTTTAAAAATACCATACAGTCTTTGGAAAAGATATGACAGTGCTCTTACCTTTCTTTTCCAGATATTCTAGTAGTTGTTATTCCAGTTTAGAGCTAGCCAGGGCTTTTAAGAATAAATCACAATGAGGGCAAAACTGTAAATAGAAGTAATGTCAGAATTAAAGTTCAAGGGTGAGTATGGTGTAGGTTGTGGTATAAAAAATTAAGTCAAACCAAAGAATGCTTTATGGGTTTTAACACTATTTAGTCCTAGCATTTTTTTAATTTTGATTGTAGGTATCTATAATCCCACGTGGTAAAGGCCTGGGTTATGCCCAGTATTTACCCAAGGAACAGTATCTTTATACCAAAGAGCAGCTACTTGACAGAATGTGCATGACTCTTGGGGGCCGGGTGTCTGAGCAAATCTTCTTTGGAAGAATTACAACTGGTGCCCAAGATGACTTGAAGAAGGTGACCCAGAGTGCGTATGCTCAGGTATGTGCTTCAGTGAGATTTTTCTCCTTAGAGTTTTCTTTATCTACTACCTAACGCTAATATTTTTAAATTACGCAATTTGATCAGGTATGTCCCTCAAAAAACATTATATGAATAAACATTATGCTCTTGCTGTGTAGAGATGCTGATGACTCAGGTATTTTATTACAGTCTTACATCAGGAGTCAATGAATTAGGCTTTGATTACTGTCCTACATCTGCCCATGGGAACATACATGCCACAGTTGTATTCGAATATATGTGGCAATTGTGTACTGTTAAAATGGAATTTGGTGCACAGATTGGATCATCTGATCCTACTTTTACAATTGCTCAGCTTGGATTCACATGTGTAACTAAGTTCAGGGAATCTTGTATTTAAGAACTGCTGCCAAATAAGGCTGTTGAAGTGGTTTGTCACATTAACTAGCATAGATGAGCAATTTGAAATCCTGTCAGTGTAATGACTCACCTGTGTGTATCTGTGTGCCACACGCATGTGTTACTCTGTTTCCTGCATCAGCACAGATGTCATTTTAAAATACTTGCAAGGTGAGCAAAGAGACATTTTAGAGTACATTTCTGTTCACCAGTGCAACACCCCAGACTACACCTACTTCCTGGGCTCTGGTGTGCTTCTTGTTGCCCCAGTTCAGGAAGTAAATGTCTAATGAAATCCTATTAATGTTAATTTTACAGCATTCAGTCACTGAAGCAGTGACTGTTGCTTGATTTTAAATTTTAAAATGTTTAAGTGTAAACTTCTGCTCATGTTAACCGCATCTGTTGTCTCCAGAGGGAACAAGGGGATGAGAGTATTGAACTTTGCTTAAGGAAGCAAGTTAAGATGCTTGGTTCTAATGCTGAGATCTTGAATTCTGAATAGCCTTCATCATACCTATTATTGGTATTTCAAGACCAGAGAAGTGCCACTTTAGTAACCATCAGATTGATAGCAACCAGAGAGTGAATACTAGGTAGCAGTTTGAACTTATTTCTGCCTCTGCTACAGTAAAATGCAACTTAAAAATATCTATACTTGGCAATCAGAAGAGTCTATATTCGGTAATGACTCAAGGTAAGAATCACTTTCACATTTGTAGGGGAGTGTCTTGGGATAAAGTATGGCATATGATTTTTGCATATGATAGGGCAAAATCTTGAAGACCTGCTACTTTAATACTTAACTTATGGATGAATGGAATAGACTTGGAAGCATTTTGAATTGGAAAAGCCACTTATATTTCTGGTACAGGAAAAGAGTTTTACTGCTTATTGAAGTCTGAAATGTTTTTTCTGTAATCGTAGAATTTAAACAGATGCACCATGTACATCATGAGTAACCACCTATAAATGGTGCTATTTATGTCCTTAGTGAAAGTCAACTAAGTTACTTTAGGTAGACTTTGCAGGAGAGGGTTAGCTTTAGAGGAAAAAAATGGGTTATAGTAAAATGACTTCTTCCTTTCAGTTTTATTTACCATATTTTACATCTATATACCTTAAAATCATGTTCTCTCTCCATCATTTGACTTTTTTCTTTTTTTTTCTTCAGATTGTTCAGTTTGGCATGAATGAAAAAGTGGGGCAGATTTCTTTTGACCTCCCTCGCCAAGGAGACATGGTATTAGAGAAACCTTACAGTGAGGCAACTGCCAGATTGATAGACGAAGAAGTGCGGTCACTAATTAACATTGCGTATGAGAGAACACTAACTCTTCTGACTGAGAAGAAAGCCGAAGTGGAGAAGGTAAGCATTGCAGTATTTCTGGCTGCCAAGTTCCAGCTGTTAAGCCAGAAACTGAATTGAATATGTTAAAAATAGCAATTGTGTAAAACCTGTTCAGTGTAATCTTGAGAAGTTGCAAGACTTAAATAACTAAATATAAATTTCCTTTCATGTTGGAACACCTCTGAGGTTCTCGTGAATGTGATTTAACATCACTCCCCTTGCATGGCAAATACTCATTTGGCAAGCTGGAGGGAAGAATCTGTCTATCAAAGTAGACTTTAGTAGATGTACTAGTCTAGTATGAAATTTAAAAACCCCAAACACAAAATACCAGGATTCCAATTCATTTTGCTAAAGCAAGCTCTCTAAGAATAGAAGTACATATAAGTTCCTTTTTCTGAGTTCCTTTTGAAGGTCAAATAGAAAGCATCTTTCTATCATCTTCCTTCCCCGCCCCCAGCTGCTTGTGATCTGCCTCCCTGCAGCTGAGATTGCCCTTGTACATGTTCTTCTCCATGCCAGAAAGCCTGATATGGCAAAAGGGTAATTTTCCAGGATAGGCATCTGATAGACTTACTGACAAGAAGACAAGTTTGTTCAGATTCTGTAGATAGTGGTGTAGCACATCAGCATCCCAGAAAAAGATCTCTGAATATGGTTTGTACTGAACAATGTGCTTGCTGATGCAAAAAGGTTACAAACTACACTTGCACCGTATTGTACAGACTGGTATTTTATGGTGCTCTTAGCTTGTACCAGAACAGCAGCCCTATTGAACCATCTGGTCTGGTAGGAAGGGAGTGCTTGTTTTCATCTATAGCTTAATGTCTTGCATCAGGAGCCTTTTGGCAGCAGTGAAAGGCCACTGCTCTGAAACAACAACAGCAACTGTGTCCCATAGGGAGGGCACTTTGTCAAATCTTGAAAGTAGGACTAAAACAAAAAGTTATTTTTGCTACCTAAATACTCACAGGGCACAAAAAAAAAAATAATCATTAAGTGAACTCTGAACAACCTGGGGTTTTCTATCAAAATTAATCAGTGCTGAATGTGGTCCCAAACTGTCTTACATGTGCGACACAATTTATTGCTGTTCCAGGTTGCCCTACGACTACTGGAGAAAGAAGTACTTGATAAAAGCGATATGTTAGACTTGCTTGGGCCAAGACCGTTTGCAGAAAAGTCTACTTATGAAGAATTTGTTGAAGGCACAGGAAGTCTGGATGAGGATACCTCACTACCAGAAGGCCTTAAAGACTGGAACAAAGAGCGTGAGAAAGAGAAAGAGGAGACAGCAGATGAACAGGTTGCTAGGCAGATCAAAGGAGGGATGCCGTTTTAACTGCAAAGTGTGTGGTGATGTTGACTTACACTCTGGAACAGAAACAGACTCACCTAGTCTGTACTTAAAAAAAAAAAAAAAAAGAAAGTATTTATTCAACCAAACTGTATTAGGGATGGGTGGAAGAGTGATCTCTTGCGATGGGATAAGGATATTCTGCTCCGAATTTCCATATGTGATACCATCAGTTCACTGGTAAAAGATGATCATCTATCATGTGTCAGCTGAAGAACCATACGTTGGATTTGAGCTGCAGTTGAATGCCAGAACTGAGCCTCTCCAACTTTGAAACAATTCAGATTCATGCACAAACTCTGTGGCACTGGTCTCTTCTGTTTTAAAATGTATGAAGCTTACAAAAATTAATGTTTTCTTTGATTATTTATCTAAAGTATACTTGTATGTGACCTGTTTCCAAAACAAAGAATCATACAAAATGCATTGTTGAATACTTAGCCAAAAGTCTGGTCTTACGAAGTACAAGCTTTGCAAAACTATCAGCTCTTTTATCTGACCATTTTCCCCTCCCACATTTCACTTTGATTTTAGAAAGAGTTTGTCTACAGAGAACTGCCATGTAAGTTGACAAAGAAACTGGAAGCCCACTTAAATACCTTCAAATGTACTCATGGTTCAGTGTCTTTAAGTGAAGTCTGAAGCTCAGTTGGCTCCTGCAGTTTTATTAGTTTTTTACAGAGTTCTGTAAGATATTGAATATATGAATGTGTTGTGTAAATACAGTTTGACTCAATAAAATCAGTACTTTTCTGAACAAAGCTTGTTTTTTTGTGTTTGGTATTTTTGTTGGTTGGTTGTTTTTTTTGCTGGTTGCTTAGTATAGGATTCAGACCAGTACAGAACTTCCTTAGGTTAAGCAAACCAGTAAGAAACCAAAAGCTACTGTGGTTTTTTTTCTCTGCTTAGTTGAATGCAGTTTATTTTGGTATAATCATAGAATCATTCTGGTTGTCTCCCCTGTGCTAAGGATTTATTAGTTGGAAAATTCAGCTATTCAGAAACTGGCTGTCTCCCTATCCCAGAAGAGAAGAGGGAAGCACAGTTGGAGGGCATGAAGTGGTGGAGAAGGAAAATAATCTAAGCTTGCCTGGACAACACATCCTTTAAGGCTTGAGAGGGCAGGTTGAGGGAAGAACTGGTAATTGATTCCATCAGTGTGTTGCAAGATCCTGGAAAGTGGTAGGATGACAAAGAAGGTGTCTCTGAAAGGTCAGACACAAGCTCTTTGCTTGAGTTATTTGATGGAAATTGTTTATGGAAATGATTCTTTTAGGACTTAAAAAAGTGTTAGCTGAGCACTTTTTGTTTGGAGTAGGCAATTTGTAGCCAGTGCAGGGGATTAAATGTGCTTATGTTGTAGAAGTCACAATTCTGCATTTCCTTATTCCTTACTTAAACAGAAAACCAAGCAAAAAAAAAAAAACACACAAAAACCCCCAAGAAACATAACTCTTGACCCCACCTTCCAAATACTAACCTAAACCCTAATGCAGTTCTTCACAGTGGCACTATTGGACTGTAAAAAGAATTGTCTTCTCTCCAGGAAGTGGTTGTCTTTTACTCCCCGTTTGTGCCATCTACTTTTACATTCCACTCTTGTTCGGTTACAGCATGCAATTAGAAATGTATGATAATGGCACAATTTGACTGTGTTGAGATTTTGGAATTAAAGATGTGGAAAAGCTGTGTACCCAACCTGCTGTTTTCAAGATGACTGCTAACCTCCACCTACTCACAGCTTTTCAGGTGGTTTAGCAGAAGTCAAGAAAATCAAGTTTAGTCTGTCCTGTGGCTGCCAATAAGCCCAGATTAATTTTTGTGGCAAACACTGAGCGCAGTGCTTCTTCAACCAGTAGGGGCTTGCACAGCACTGAGTGAGCCACTGCATTTGCTGCTTCTGATGCTGGGAGAAGGAGGAGGTCTAGACCTTCTTTCCCAGCCTCATTCCCATGAGGTGACCACCTTTTCCTAAGCCTGATACAAGTGTGAGACTTGGAACAGACATGCAGAAAAATTGAGCGCCTAAGGTGGCTTGGCTAAGGTAGCACGTGTGGGGAATGTCACATCTGTGAACTGCTGGCTTTGAATAGAGTGGCTTTGCAAAGGAGCTGGCCCACCAGGTTAGACTCATTTCTGTTTTGATATCTTCTTCCCACAGCACTGCTTGCCTGCTGTTTTCATGTGGTTTCAGTGGAGTAGGTGTCCCTTTTTCTCCCCCCATCCTGGTGCTGGTGGAGGTTCTTGTGTCTGGGCGATACCAGAGCTGCACCTCTAGGCCTCCTTGGGTTTGGCTTGTCCCAGCAGCCTGCTTCTAGTTATTTCTCTGTGGCTAAGTGCAAAGCAGTAAAAAGGAGGGGACTGAAGGAGGGCTACGTACAGACAGTAACATGCGAGAGACTAGGTTGAAAAACTAGGAGGGAAATATAAAACACGTAGGTGAGCAATGTGAAAAGCTGGGTGGGACTCAGCAGGCAGCTTTCAAAGTAAAAGAGAAGTTTCATAGGAAAAAGCAGCAAGTTATTTGAAAGGAAGTGCAGTGGAAGGAATTGTCCACCAAACCTGTTACTAAACAATTTTCAGTTTCATGTCAGGAAAGGAAGGTAATTAGAGTTGGTTGACAGAAGCAGAACAGGAAGCATTTGTGCTTCCCGTGACTTTCTTACAGCTTACATACAAGCTGGTCCTCTGGCCATGTTCCTGCTACAGGTTCCTGAGTTTGTTTTAGTGGGTTGGGCTTATTTCCCCTAAGACAAGATGGAAGATCTGTCTCCTTTCATATCTAAAGAGGGCGTTAGTTTGCTTCCCCCCCCACACACACATGTATTCTAGAAATTCACATCAAACAGTTGCAAGTAAACACATGTGGAAGCAGAGCTAGGATTCAAAGCAGGATCAGAGGACGTTGTTGGGTCTGAATTCCATGGGCTCAGTCTATACGCTGTAGTTGAGTCAGTGTATGAAAAGCAACAGAGAACAGGCTGGTTCACCAAGTCAGTCAATTATTTAGGAACCCCAATATTCCTGGCTTTTTTTTAAGGTATTGATTTCTTTCTTTTCCAAAGCAATATCAGAATTTATGGGTGGGACCTAGCTATGAGTTATGTATTACAACAAAATGCAGTTCCACAAGCTGCGAGATGGTTGGTGCTACTTCATTCAGAAGAAAAGATGCTAGTGCTTTAATTGAAAAGCCTATGCTGCAGCTGTATGCTGGCAGGCTCTCAGCCAGCCACACCTTCCTCCTTCTGGAAGCTAGTAGCCTGCCATTTACAAAGCTCCAATTAAACTTCCAAGTTTAATGGCTTTATTCCCCATGGATTTTACTTTGTATTGCACTACATGTTAGTTTCTCTTTAATGCATGTTGTTTTTTAACTTAATCTCACACCATGCTACATAGCCACAACATCTCACATCTGTGCAATGCTGTCACTAGATGTAAATTCTTCAGGCATCACCAGCCACTGCCAAGACTGTTGCCCCTGTGCAGTCACTGACTCCAGCACCAGAAGCCCATCAGCCAGGCCCTGCCTGCCTCTGTCTCTGCACCTGTGCCAAAGCCAGTTTGGTTACTACTTTCCAATGATTATGTTTCAACCCATGAAGTAACTTTATATGAAAAAAGAGCATTGCACTTGATTAAAACTAGTTTTGTTCCATTCCTGTGTAGAATAAAATTAAGCAAACAGCTTGAGCTTTTGTGATTAACACTTGCCTGGTTCACATACTTTATAAAATACTGTGTCATTCCCTGAATCCCAAACTACCAGAACACAGTATCATCTTATTAGGGGCAATGCACCTTCAGCAATCATGCTATGTTTGTAAAGTGCCTTTTTAAGTATTGACCAACCCTTTTGCTTAGAAATTGCTTCTGAAGGCGACATGAAAGGGTGAAGAGTTCCTGAAACACTTAAAGTTTGGATTTCCAGAGGGTTTCTCATCTGTTTGCTTGTTTTGTTGCCTAGAAACTGACCTAAATAAGAGACTCCATGTAGACAGTGTTCTCTGTACAGAGGCTCTGTAATGGCAAAAGGCTGTTTAATTGATATAAGCAGAAACACAAAGCACGCACTAAGAGTGAACGTCCAGGAGTCACTTCCTCAAGGTGTCAAGTCAGCTGTAAAAGCGGCCTTTCTGTTTCAGCTTTAGTGTGAGCAGGTAAACTGTTGTTCATCTTTCATTTTTGTCAGCTGTGAATATTGAGGATAATTTTATTTGTACTTTAACCTTAGTCTGATTTTAACCTATCTGAGTAACAAGACATCCATACCATCTATAGGCAAGGTGACCTTAAGCAGTGAGATCCACATTCTGTGGAGTATCTGAATTTCAGCTGGGTGGAAAGAAGAATAGCACTAGTAACTGGTAAAAGCCAGAAAGACAGGAAACCAACAAGGCATTGAGGAGCTGCTTCAAACCTCAAGAGTCCTTAAAGAACACATCACAAATGGATAGATTTCATATGTATAAACTGTGATTATCCAGCAGCAAGTGCTGAAGTCTCATAGCACAAATCCAGCCTCTAGCCTGCAGCTCACTGGATATTGATACAGCATTGACTGTCCAAAACACATTTGCTGGAGAGGATACTAATCTTTTTTTATTTTGTTTTTAGAGGACTGGAATCAAATATCACTTTTAACAGATACTGTACAGAATAGCTAAAGGCTTGTTCTTCCCTTTATTATGAATACATTTGGTTCCTGGCAGTTCTGTATTGTACATTCAGTACAGAATGACTACTTCAAACCCACAAGATTTCTTATTCATAATTGGATGAAAATAGTGCATCTTCATTTTATTGATTTTCATGTCTATTTTACATCTTCTCTTGTACAACTTCAGGGTGACAAACTTTGTTTGGAAAAAAAAAAGATCCCAAACTGGCAATCTCTGTGTTCAGACTCTTGGCAAAGCCTTAACTGAATGCCTTATGTTTGTCTTGTGAATAGAAATAACCTGATTTCCAGAAATGCTGGCTGTCCTCAGTTCTCAGTGATCAAAACAGACTCTGAAGAGCACCCCTAATGTCTGAAACTCATACTCTTTTTTTTTTTTTTTTTTTAAAGCCTACAGTTTTACAAACATAATTATTAGAAATTCAGATTTCAGAATCTGGCCTGGAAAAGAGTGCACCCGATTTCTTTATTCGTTGAGCTCTTCTTCATCATCTTCAAACGCTTCCTCTCCATCATTTGCTGTTGCTTCTTGGTATTGCTGATACTCTGAAACCAGATCATTCATGTTGCTTTCTGCTTCTGTAAATTCCATTTCATCCATTCCTTCTCCTGTAAACCAGTGAAGGAAGGCCTTTCTCCTGAACATGGCTGAAAACTGCTCTGAGATCCTTTTGAAGAGCTCTTGAATAGCAGTACTGTTGCCAATGAAGGTGGAAGCCATTTTGAGGCCACGAGGAGGTATGTCACACACTGCCACCTTGACATTGTTTGGGATCCACTCCACAAAGTAACTGCTGTTCTTGTTCTGAATGGCCAACATCTGCTCATCAACCTCCTTCATGGACATGGGACCACGGAAGACGGTAGCCACTGTCAGGTATCGCCCATGTCTTGGGTCACAGGCTGCCATCATATTTTTGGCATCAAACATCTGCTGGGTGAGCTCTGGAACAGTGAGCGCTCGGTATTGCTGACTGCCTCGAGCTGTCAAAGGAGCGAAGCCTGGCATGAAAAAGTGAAGGCGTGGGAAAGGGACCATATTTACTGCCAGCTTCCGAAGGTCAGCATTTAGTTGGC